TAGTTCTATTAATTTTGGTATATAATAAAATATAGTGCTCTGATTATTTACTATCTTTATTATTTCATTTAATTCCTATTTTACTATTCTACGTTTAGTTTATTTTCGATATCTATTGGTTTAATATTGTTTATTTATTTTTCTATTACTTGTTGACTTATTTGTTAATACTAATCACTTTACTTCTTTTAATGTGTGCACTTGATTTTGCATGCTTTTAAATTGTGCATTGCATTACGATGTTTAACTGGATTAATTATGTCTGCATTGATTGCAATGTCTTGATTAATTGTGTTGTCGATAATGCTATGCTTTGTTGTGTGGAATGTGGTGCGATGAAGTGGACCACCGTGGTTTGTTGAACGGACGGTTTGTAACTTATGGATCCGAGCTATTATATGATATTTGACCGTCGGCGAGAAATGGGGAGACGGCGCTCCCCGTGTGCAACCTGTTATGATAGAGATTATCGTGGAAAACCCACATGGATGGCTTCTTGTTGTTTTGCGCCACCTGATAATCTAGATTTGATTGTAAGCCCCGCAGGGTGGGCCTTCCTGTTGTGAGCACTTGATGATCTAGATTGGATGGGATAGCCACCGGGTTGCCTCCTGTTGGTATGGGAAAAGAAGAGAGAAATGGGAATACAATTGAGAGGACGGTTCAGTGAGGATTAAACCAGTTGGCCGTATGGGGAATCGCGCTTCCCCTTGCGTGCACATGTATGAGAGGGCGAGCAGTTGTGTGAGGGACGGCTCGTTGGAGGTAAATTCAGGTGGGCGCCACTGTACTTTAATTTCCACGTGATGATTATATTGAAGATTTATGATTGTGAAAGTGCTGGTCTTGATATGCCATTTGTGTGATGGCTGCGTGCAGCATATAACTAGTCGGATGACTAGATTAATATGTGGTAAACATTTGTGTGACTTGTGTGTATTGTTGCAATAATTATTATCCTTTAGAAAACTTCAACATGTCTTGCTTTGATTTTTCAGGAAGTAGTTTTTTTCCTTTAATCCGAGCTTTAGGCATATGTTTCTTCGGCGCAGGGCAATAAAACAATTTTTCCTATTATCCATAATTATTTTTACTATGATATTACTAACAGTTAGTGACTCCGCCAGTTGTAGGACTTTGTTATACTTTTAATTTCGATTTATTATTATAGACGAGATAATTATGTGAATTCCATATTGTAAATGTGATGCATTTTAATTATGGCCGAACTGTTGGAATGTTGTAGCCGATAAATTCGGCCGAGATTTAATAAAATCTTTGGGTTTATTTTTCATTAATCATATGGACGTAAATGTTTAATATTATTATTCCGAGTATAGTAAATTTATATTAGTGTTTCACGGTCGCCTTCAGCTACGCCCTGGGCCTCGGGCCTTAAGCTTAGCCTGGGCGCCTAGCTGCCGGTCCGGCCCACGGAAAAATGGGTCGTGACAAAAAACATTTTTCGACCCATTGACAATCTTATAAATACATATCTTTTAATTTATTAATCATCATAATTTACTACCATAGTCACCATTTAACACGATCACCACCACCGACCAACTGGCGACTTTCATAATTTATATTTTTTTACATTATTTTCATATTTAATTATATAAAATTTCTAAAATTATTTAAAATTTCTATTATTATTCATTATTATTATTATTATTATGCGTTTATGAGATAAAAGACGTTTGCAATTATTTTTAATTAATTTTTCAATATTACAACCAAAACAACGGAAAATAAGTCATTTGGAAAATATTTTTGGAAAATATTTTTCAAGGAAAATATTTTCTATGAAAATATTTTTTAGTGAATTATTTTTTTACAAATTATTTTACGGAAACAAACAGAACCTAAAATAACTAATAGATACTAAAACAACTAATTTTACAGAATACATAGTATGATGATAATTAAAGTAGGGGTAAGGGTGTAATTAAATTGAAATATGAAATTTGATCATTTCAGTAGAAAGAATTTCCATTTGTTTTTTTTTTATGTTTTGAAATTTTTTATGGTCATAATTAAAGAGACTTAAACATCCATTAAATATCCATCTTTTGCACCGACCCATCAATAGCCAAAACCTCCATAGCCACTGCTTTTTCCTGACAAGCCATACAATCCTTACCAAAACGTTTGCTTTTCACTATATTTCCTAATATAATTAAACTAAATTTTATTATTTGTATTTTAAAACCTCTTACCCGTTACACCTTTTTTTTTTTTTTTTCGTTACCCGTTACAACCTTTTTTTTTTTTTTTTGTAGGACAAAGAAAGAGGGAGGCTCAGAGAAGCCTTTTTTTTTTTTTTTGGTAGGAAAAGAAAGAGGGAGCTAGAGAAAGAGACAAGAGGGGGAAAAAAGCAAACAATGGCAAACAATGTTATGGGAATGAGCGTAATCTTGTTTTATTTGATGACATTTTCTTATAATAATGTAAAATCAACAATGTCAATTTTCATAAAGTTAACTATATTAACTATTTTATCAGCTAGGCCCAGCCTTCTTCCAATTTCTGGACCTTTTTTTGAAATTTTTAAACCCTTAGCCCTTAGGCCCTGTAAGCCCATTTATCTTTTATTTATTTATTTATTAAGAAAGATGTTAGACTCCAATTTAAATTGTGAAATAAATCAAATTTTAAACACATATTTGAATTTTGTTATTTTTATAATTAATTTTATCATTTCTATACTCAAGTTTCAAGCTAAGATTGTATAGTTAATATCATAAAATCAAATATTTTCTCAACATTGTAATAAATATTGCCAATTATATTAAACTTTTAATTAATTATTAAAAATAGGTTTTATAATTAATTAGGAAAATGACAATTTACCTCCTAGAAGTCTAATCTTTACTCTTTTTTATTTTTTTTTACGAATGGGACTTTTCTTCTACTCCGACCGCATGCGCATATATGCGGCTATGCCTCCAAAATCAATTAAGTTAAACTATATTGTAGTATGATAGAAAGAAATTATGATTTAAAATGTTAATATATGCTAGTATCTTATTTATTTTCAATATTATGACTAAAGTTATAAGTTAATGGAGATGTTTTTCTTTTTAATTATAAAAAAGTGTATATAATCTCTGGAATTGTAACATTTTATCCTAAATTATTAAATGCAAATATTGTAATTTATTGTTTGATTTATATAAAATAAGTTATAATTTCAAAAAAAAAATTATGAAAATAAATAATGAAGGAAGGAAAACTATGAATATATTTCACATTAAATATCATTTCTCACTCCATTCAACATTTTTTTTTCTCTAGTTTCATAGGAATTCTAATTTTTGTGGCCGGTGAGGAAAGAATTGAATTTTTTTTTTCTTTTGATAAATTTTTAAATACACAGAAGGGTTGAAAACTCTTAAAAAATCCCACGTTGCAAATAGTTGTAATAAGATATCTTAAAAAATAAATACTTTGCCTTGATAGAAGGATCAACCTAAATCTTCAAGTCCAAATCTCCATTCAACACTTCATTTACTAAACAATCTGCAATTGAATTTGCCTCTCACTCGCTATTGTTTCTACATCATTTTTCGACATTCTTTAAGCAAGTTGCTTAATTTAAACGAAAAGATCTAAAAGTATGACTTTAAATCATATCTACGACTCCATATGAATCAGTTTGAATCAAAATCTATTCCTTTTGATGTTTTCATTACCCTTTTCATACAATGGGAAATTATTTTACATTAATATTTTCTTCCTAAAAAAAAAAAACAAAAATCCTCATTCCCAAATATAGGTTAAAATTTGAAAATTTATTTCTATAGATATGGTTTCTAACACAAGTTAAAATTACTCTAAGATATTAAAAAAATATTTTTTCAGAAGAATATTATGTACACCTAAAATTGCAAAATTCCACCACCAAATAAGTAAACTGTTTTCCAAAAACAGTAAAAGCATCAAACAAAGGTAATTATCTATCAAAGGAACACATGACTGTGATAGCATTGAACAATTCTTTTGGATTGCTACCTACAAAATACACGTCATGATTTATTTTTTTCTAAACTTCTACCTACCATAAAAAAATTCGTAAGTATATATATATATATATATGCATGTCCACTATCAAACATCTTCAAACTCATCATCTTCATGCTTTCCAAAGCGTATACCCACAAACTACAAAAACAAACCGACACTTAAGAGCCCATTTCTTATTGTATCCTATAGTAAATTTAAGTTATAATCTCTAATAAGACGTCGTTTTGTAAAGAATGTCGAGAGAGAAAAATATTATATTAAATTTTTTATAAAAATTATTGCTGAGAAGCTCAAATCCCTTTTGCCATAAAAATTATTAAAAATTTAATAAATATTACTCGAAAATGAGTATTAATCAAAAATATTATTTCTACCTATTAATATTGATGATTTTTTTTTCTGAAAATTAGAATATATTTATAAAATCTATATAAAAAATAACCTAAAAAAACGAACATATAAATGGAATATTTATATAAATATCTCAAGATATAAACAGCTTTTAATCCAACATAGATGTATGCTCAACTACAACCTGGTTCTAAATTGAAACTGCTTGGAAATTTGAATTAAAAATCAATTTAAGGTGATTGGTTTCAAAATCATATTAGAATGGACCCAATATGATAAAAAAAAAAAAAGATTAAAATTGCTTTGAAATTGACTAAATAACTGTATATTAATGTAATTAAATATCTTCACATATGTTATATGTTATCTCTGTAAGTATGATGATATTTTTTAACATGTAATATAGATTTTTCATTTTCAAGTGAAAATAATCATAATTTTTTTTTTAAAAGGAGGGTCAAGTTGTGCATTTAATAGATCAGCTATTAACGACAATGATTAAAAATTTATCTTTTATTTCATTATTTAACGAAAAAAAGAACTGGCCGGAAATTACCGAACCCGGTCCAGGGCTCCGGTTCAAGGATTGCTTATATAATTAATTTTGCTTACGTTCCTTCATTTTCTTCTCCATCTCTCTTATCTTTTTATTCACAATCTCTCTCTCTCACACATTCGCACAGTTTCTTCGCTGGTAAGAACGGACGAACGAGCCACATAGACCGGCTTCGACCCGAATCCGCCGCAAGACCCGACTAGCAGCTTCTTCCATCTATCCCGATATACAATACCAATCGCTGCCATGAACTTGCAATCTGTAAGTCTTCAAATCTCCCTTGCATTAGTCCCGCCCTACGCGACACCGTTTTGTCGGAACCCTAATTCTTTATCCTTTTCTCGGGCTTGGTTGTTTGTGATCAATCTCAATTATTGAAATGTTAATGTCGGTTTAGGTTTTTCTCTTTTTAATGTTCTTGACGGATTTGGATATATTTAATTTTTTTAATGGTTTTAGGGTTCTCGAGGAATCGCTCGGCATTGATAATCTGTTTCGACGGGAAGTTAGGGACTAGGGTTTTCAATTTGAAGCATTGTTTTGACGGGGTGTAATTTCTATTCCGATTGCTAGGTTTTTTTTTTTTTGTTCGCTTTCAACACGGGGAAGATAGGTGTGGGTTAAGAGGATAATGTGTATACTGTGTGTGATCCAGAAGTGGTCTCGCCGGGTTGCTAGTATGCTACCTTGGTTAGTTATTCCTCTTATAGGATTGTGGGCTCTCTCACAGCTTCTGCCGCCTGCTTTTCGATTCGAGATCACCTCGCCTAGGCTCGCTTGTGTTTTTGTGCTTTTGGTCACTCTATTTTGGTATGAGATTTTGATGCCCCAGCTGTCTGCTTGGCGTGTGCGTAGAAATGCTAGGTTAAGGGAGAGAAAAAGGTCTGCAGCAATTGAATTGCAGAAGCTGCGGAAGACTGCAACAAGGAGGTGCAGAAACTGTTTGACTCCTTATAGGGATCAGAATCCAGGAGGTGGTAGATTTATGTGTTCCTATTGTGGCCATATTTCCAAGAGGCCGGTTTTAGACTTGCCCGTGTCCTCTGGAATGGGAATGCCTAATTCTGGGATTATTAAGGATCTGGTTGGCAAAGGTGGGAAGATATTGAATGGCAAGGCATGGTCTGATAATGGATGGATGTGCAGTCAGGATTGGTTAGAAAATGGCAATTGGGTTGGTGGGTCCATTGCAGGGAACTCTAGTTATTGGCGGAAGAATGGGAGTGGGATTTTTGGAGATGATGAGAATTGTTTGGCTGAGAAATCTTATTCAGGTGTTGTAATTTTTGCATGCAAGTTGTTGACTTCTTTTTTCTTGAGCATTAGATGGATATGGAGAAAGATTTTTAGAGTTAGTTCATCAAAGGAAGATGCTTCTTCTGATGCAGATCATCGGGGAATGTTGGCTAAGAGGGGTGAGAATGGGGCAAGTTATCATGAGAGTAGAGGAGAAAAAGCACGGCGAAAAGCTGAAGAGAAACGACAGGCTAGGTTAGAGAAGGAGCTTTTGGAGGAGGAAGAAAGAAAGCAGAGAGAGGAGGTTGCAAGATTGGTAGAGGAACGCAGGAGGCTTAGGGATGAGAAAATGGAGGCTGAAAAAGATCAGAGCAAATCTTCACCACCCACCAGGGAGAAAGATAGTAGGAAGGAAGCAGAAAAGAAACGTCAAGAAAGAAAGAAGGAAAAAGACAAGGCGTCTAGTAAGAGTAATTCTGATGCTGAAGAGTTGGAAAAGAAAACAGGCAAGGAAAGTGACAAGAAAAGAGACTTTGAGAAGAAGAGTGAAAATGATCGTCGGGAACATCAGAAATCAGGGACAGACAGTATGAAGGGCCAGAATGCTGAATCAGGACATGTGGTAAAGCATCCATCTGCAAGCAGTTATATCCGTGGAAATGCTGGAACTAGATATCTGGATCGAATGAGGGGTACATTCTTGTCTTCCTCTAGAGCTTTTACTGGAAGTGGTTTCTTTGGAAAGACTGCTAATACTCCTGCAAATATTACAAAAGAAAATAAGTTCAACAGTTCTGTAGATCATGGCCATGCTTCTGCCCATAGGAGGGATGTATGTCCACCTGAGCGTCCTGTTGGGAAATCAAATGTGAATGGAGATGATAAGAATGTAAACCGTCCTGTAAGTTGTCTCCCGTATCCCTTTTAATATATATATAATCCCTTTTAATTATATATATATATAATATATATATATATATATATATATATATAGTATGATGTTTTTTTTAACGGTGGCCAAGTAAGGTTTATGAAGAAGTTACTTTGTTACCCTCTGTTCCACTTATCCTTTCATGCAACATATTTTGTCAGTTGTGAATTCATTCTGAAATCTTGATATGACTGGTTACAAAGTAATTTTTGGATTGATGTAATGTTAGATATTGATTGATTTGCATTTGAGTTGAAATGACACACTTTGACTAAATTTTGTTATGTTTTTTTTTTTAACGGTGGCCTAAGTAAGGTATGAAGAAGTTACTTTGTTACCCTCTGTTCACTTTATCCTCATGGCAACATATTTTTGTCAGTTGTGAATTCATCTGAAATCTTGATATGACTGGTTACAAAAGTAATTTTTGGATTGATGTAATGTTTAGATATTGATTGATTGGCATTTGAGTGAAATTGACACACTTTTGACCTAAAATTTTGTATTCCAGCTGTATATCCTCATTAAGTAATGTTTCCCATTACTTTTTTTGGCTGCCTCTTTTTTTTTTGAAAGGATTAGCTGCCTGTTCTTTTGGGGAAATGATTATATGTGCATATATATTTTGATAAGCAAGTCAATATTTTCATTATGGTAATGTCTTAAAGTTTGATGAAGTGTTATAAATGAACTGCATTATAAAGAAAATCAGTGTTTCATTATTTAATTTTTCATTACAGATTGTCTCAGAACCACAACTAAGGCCAGCTCCTAAAAAATCATGGCAACAATTATTTACTCGAACATCAGCTGCTCCTTTACCCTCAAACACAAATGTCATAAGTAGGCCAAACTCAAAGCCGCAAGCTGAAGTTCAAAGCCCACATTTACATGGGCAGTCATCATCAATACAGTCATTTGATAATCCAATCAGTTTTGGGCTGCCATCGCCATTTACTCTATCTACATATCCAAGTGTATCCAGTACCAGTAGTTTAGGTTTCTCACCTCCCATTGAACCAATTTTTTCTCGTGTTGAAGGGTCCCATGAATTTATTCCTGAGGAACCTGAGCTTTTTGAAGATCCATGTTATGTTCCTGATCCGATATCATTGCTTGGGCCTGTTTCAGAGTCACTTGATAATTTTCAGTTGGACCTGGGGATGGGTTTTGCGTCAGATATAGGATTGGAGAGGCCTCATACTTTGAAGAATTTATCTGCATCGCCTGAAGTGAGCAAGCCATCTCCAATTGAATCTCCACTGTCACGAGTACGAATTACAGATGAAAAGCATAATGGATCTAATTGGTTTCCGGCTACTCCTAAGACTCAGGATTTACACACTCTACCTGTGGAAGATGTGCATGCGAATGAGAAGGGAACGTGGCAAATGTGGAACAGTTCTCCTCTTGGTCAGGATGGTTTGGGTTTGGTAGGTGGCCCAGGAAGCTGGCTTTTACCTCCTGAACTTAGCAGATCAACCAAGGAAGATGTCTTGCAGCCTTCATCTCAGAAAACTATGGCTTCTCTTTTTACAAACGATGACCAAGTCATTTCTGGTAGCCATTCTCCACACAAGGTTTTTCTTGGCAATGGCCAGAATAGTGCAGCATTTAGTCCAGTCACTGGTTCAAGTGATAATGATCCATGGTTACAGAAAGCTTTTTATCCACCATTGTCAGCCTGTGATAGCCATTTCTCTCTGAAACCTCAAGAGGAGGGCACTAAGAATGAAATGATTTATGGGAGTCCTACTGGAGCTGCAAGCAACCATTCTTTTGAGCTGTCTCAAGCTAACTGTTGGTCCAAGTGAGTGAATCACCCTATGAACCTCTTTTATATCAATTGCTTGCTTGGAGTATTGGTTTTCAAACATGATAAACTGAAAACATTCATCTGATTTTTTTGTTGGCAAAACATTTAGCGATTGATCAAAGGTCCATTAGATAACAATACTGAGATGGATTTGAATATTGTTCCAGCTTGATGCGTTATTGATCTTTCTACTGGCTATTGTTTGGATATTTTAGTATCATTTGACTCAAATTTATCAATCACTATACTTACCCTCTTCTCTTATAAGAATAAGCATCCAATTCTTTTGTATAACTCCTAATCAACTTTCCTGCCACCTAAATCATGTGGGTGCATGCTTGTGTACTTAAACTTCTGCCATTTCTATGGCTGTTTTCATGCCTAAAATCTGTAAACTGCCTACAGTCTACAGTACTGGTCTAGAACCACCTAAAGTTTTGTAATGCAGATGTATCTTCTGTAGATTTTTTTCTTCTGGGTTTTTTTTTTGTAGAGTCTTTCACCCAGCTGAAGTCAGCCTGTGCATGCAGGGTTGACTTACTAAGTTGGACGGGTCATCATCTTACATGCTCATAGCACACACCTATTTGTGTGTGTGTGTGTGTGTGTTATTTATTGTGGCAACATTAATTTTTTAATGTTGGGTTTCATAATGCTTGTTGTCTTTCACCTAAATATTTCATGGTGAAGGTTCTATTTTGGATGCTTGACTGCTGTTGGTTAATATTTGCATTGCTTCCGTTTAACACTTATTTACCCTGCATTCATCTCTATCTTTCCTTCTCAACAATTAAAACTTCTTTGCCTTTTGGCATAATTACTATCTACTAGGTAATTTAAAATCTATTGTGTATTGACCCCTGCAGTCTTGGTCAAAGGTCTCTTGTACTGAAATTTATTTAAGATATTAGCTAGGAGAGTTGGTTATGAACTACACACCTATATTCTGAAGACATTTTAATTTTGCTTCTTGGACCTTTTGTTGCCCAAGTATTTAAAATGCAGTACATGACTTAGATGTGAGGACACAATTGGCAACATCTAAATCCCAGTAATTGACACTGTTTTTGATCTGCTCAATACATGAGATCTAAATGCCACTAGTTGACTATTTGATTGGCTGAGAGCTGTAAAATCCCTGGTTATAATCTACTGATGAAGTTTTGAGAAGAGGATGGTTTAGAGGGGACATGCTTGCACTGCTCCTGAATTTTCAGCTATCAGATCAGCATCTTTCCCTAGATCCAATGACTAAAAATATGTTGAAACGTGTGTCCACAGAATAGTTTCTGACTTCCTGGTCAAGGAAAACTTTGTACTTACAGAGGCTAGAGAGGGATAGTTTTATACAATTGATTAAAAGATCCATTCTTTTTAGAATATTTTTGTGGTATAAAGTACTCATGATTGGGACATTATTCAGAAGCAGTGGTTTCTCAAGAAAGGAAAAAGAAACTATTGTTTGGTATGCATATTAATTGAATTTGTCAAACAATCTTGAGGTGGTTTCTGCATGAAACTTATTTATAAAAGTTTAGGTCCATGTCCTCCCTTCAACTCAAGTTAATTTTTTTGTAAGTCCAAATTGTATCCTTAGCATTTTCTATTGTTAACCAGTTTGATGTTCAAATACATCTTATTTGAAACGTGTGCGTGTTTGGGAATATGTAAATACTGTTAATATTGGATGAAAAAGTTTAATATGCTTCTTTGATCAGTATATTCTGTTTAAGCTTGCTCCATATATTGCAAAGATAATGCAGTGACCTTGTGCATAGCAGCCACGTTTTCTGATGCAGCATCAAAAAAGAAAGGCATAGTTTTTTGAAAATTCTGAGCTTGCTCTGTCTCCAAAAGATTCTTAGGTTGGGATGCTTTAGCCAATCGGCATTTGGGATTGATTATCTATTTGATTTTTGGATTGTCTTTATCTTGCCAAATCTAGCTGAGGGTCATGATACGCTGGTCACCAACATTCGCCATTTTCTTTTCCCTGCTTCCGTTTATGGCTTTATGGGGTTGTATGATTCGTGCAATTATCTGCTGAAATTTCTGTTCAGTGATTTTCATCGTGTGAATCTTACATGATTGGCTTTTGTTTCCTTATGCAGGAAGGACTGGACTGTTCAAGGTTCAGGGGAAGGTGTTGGAAAGACATCTGTGACAAGGCCCAATATTGGGGGTTTATTCCCAACCCCAGATGTACAGTCGCTTTGGTCATTTGATTAGGGAAAAGAAAAAAACAAGAAAAGGAGTAACAGTATGAGGGACCTAAGTACACCTCCTGTTCAGAAGAGGCAAACTTCCCTCTTTTTGTAGGAAAGTTCAGAATACTGAACAGGATTGTATCTTCTTCCTCATCTTCTTCTTTATAAGGGAGATTGATTTTACTTACGTTAGCATGGATAGGAATACTCACGTGGCATGCATTCACTTGTGCATCAGGTAACAGCTAGATGTCATACAAATTCTAAAAACCTTTTTTGAACTTTGTTGGGGGAGGGGGTGTCCCCTTTTTGAGGAAAATTAGTTCTTTTGAGAATGGTCATTCCTCCTCTTAGTTGCTTATCTCTTCATCTGTGAAAGAATGTTCCATGAAACAATACTAACGCACCTGTTAATAAGATAACTCTTTTCTCTTCTTTTTAGGTTTTTCAATTTTCCATGGCTGGAAGACTCCCCCTTCACCCTAATTAAGAAATGCAAGTTTAAACAACCGTCAAAACTTTAATTGCTCACTCTTGTACGTTTGGCACAAAACGAAGTTATAGTTTTATGGTTCCAATTCATTGCATGATATTACGGTAGAGGTCCCTTTTATTAGATATTTCTTGTGCTGATGTGCTGTTATGTAAATTCTGTGCTGTTTGATGAAGCTTTGGTGTTTTGATTTGTACCGAATGCAGGAAATAGTGATGTGTATAAAAGCCAGGGGGTTTGGATGTAGATTCAAGTTTTGATGAGCTGAAGTTAGTTTTATTATGTGAAGTGAAAATCAATTTTGCTTTGTAAGCAGGCATTAATCATCAAATGGCCAAAGCATCTAGCGTTATGCGACTCTGTACTTGGCTTCAAAGTTATGCGACTGATCTAATACTCGTCTTAGCCTAAATGCAAAGATATTTCTTTTCCAGAATAAAATACACAAAACGACACAAGGTTGCACGCTTTTCTTTATGGGTTTTTTATTATTATTATTATTATTAAACAATCGAAGTGAAATTCTTAAGCATACCCTTACATGAAAATATTTGCGCGATTTTTATGATCCTTTCCTAATGATATTAATGCCAAATAACAAACATTCCCCGCGGCAGTGAACCTGACTTGCTGTAAAAATTGAAAGATCCAAAATTGCTTCAGTAAGTCATCACGATATATTGTTATTTCATTCGTAGGCCAAATTGAAAACCTAAAATTCTGTCCGCTCTATCAAATTCTAAACACAGTATAAACGTTGTGTTTCTGACAGCTTAGTTAAGACGTTAACTGCTGCAAGAAAAGCTGTTGCCAAACTGGGCGTAAGTCCTTGACTCAAATGTTAACAATTTCCTGTCAAAATTGTGTACACAGGACCACAGGGCACTAAGGTTGACATTGATATTTGTCTCAGCTAGAGTTCCTGGCATGGCATTTTCGCTTTGAGGAATTTAAAACGCACTGTTTTCCACTGACAAAATTAATTCTGATAATCCATCTTTCCCGATTCTTGCTCATCAAAGGTGTATTTGTGTCTTTCGATATTTTTGAAAGATTTTTAACTTGTTACTCTCATCCGTGACCTCTTGTCAGATTGCCTGACTAATTCCATTTGTTTAAAGGGTTTCTCTCTCGGCCACAAGATTGGGATTTTGATTTTGGACTGTCTTAGATATGGCCAGTGGTGGTTACTTGTTGTGGAGGAGTTTAGCTGCTCCATCTTCTTCTTATTTCTCCCAAATTTGGTTTTTTGCATTTTACATCTCTTTGTATTTTATTGATGATTTTTGTGGTGGTTGCTTTGTTGGTACCTTTGGAATGCTTCCACTGGTTAATGCATATCTTTGATTCGACTCTTGATTTGATTTTTGGTGGTTTATAATGCCAGCTTTCTTCTTGTCTTGTACCGTACAAAGACAAGTGAGAAATATAATTAGGCATTTCCAACATATAATGCAATAAATGCACGTTTCTGAACTCAGTTTGTATTTTTATTCATTATTTCTAACAAATACAATAATAAAAATAGCAATGAGACAAACACACTACCAGAATTAATACCTAATCAACTGTGTTAACAATTATTTGATTTTATAACACCTCGTACCCATATACTTCCTTTTCTGAAATGGAAGAAACATCACTAAAGGTAAACCTAGGAACGTTATATGATTTGGGAAATGGAAAGATGAATCTAAACAGAAAATCTGCAGATTTGGTGATTGCTGATTTCATAAGGATCATATGATTAAACACCCAATAATAAAGTTATATACATCTAAAAGCATCAATATATTTATAGCAATTAGCTTATACTCTATCCCAATTATAAATGCTCCTCAGCAAAGAGGCCACCAAATTAGAATTAATTCAAAGATGGTTAATATTTATTTAGGGTGTAGTTGGTGATGAGGCAACCTGCAACTCAGGTACATTGGAATGCTGTAGCTCTACTTGCTCTTCTTGCTGCTGTTCTCCTTGCCACGTCCAAACAATGTCTTTAAGTGCAGGTCTAATCTCTTGTTTCAGTACCTTCTGATACTCCAGGGTATCTCCACTGGACTTTTTCATTTCGATCAAATGAAAACAAGGAGTTATCTCAAAGATTTCAGCATCAATGCCCAGGACTCCTTTCCTGCCTTCTTTTGAACCTTCCAACTTCATTAAGCCGCCGTCCTTTTTCTTTATTTTCAGTCTCAAATTCTTAGCAATGTCTTCAAGCTTCGAGATAATGAAGGAAGCAGGCTTGTTTGCAGTAAAACGCACTTCTTTCCTTTTCTCTTTCTCCTCGAACAAGCCTGACAAATCAAAGCCTGCAGAATAGGAAATAATATCAAATGCGTTCAAGTTGCAAGGCTTTGCCAATTCTTGCTTGGATTCTGTGATACTGCAGCCGCTCTCATTTACATTAAAAATAGAATCGCAATCTAGATTAACCGATTCTTTCATGTCCGTCTCAACAATTTGAGGTTTAGGTTCCAACCCCTTACGAAACCAAGAATTTTCCATTATTTTTGCCATGGATATCCTGGTTCTGGGGTTTGGATCCAGCATCTTTGATAGAAGCTTGCGTACTTCAGGTGCAAACCAATTAGGGAACTTAAAGTCTGCCTTTGCAATCTTCCTATACATCTCCATCAGATTTGCATCATGGAAAGGAAGATAGCCAGCCAATAGAACATACAAGATTACCCCACATGACCAAATATCAGCTTTATATCCATCATACCCTTTTCTGTTTATCACTTCTGGAGCAACATAAGCAGGAGTCCCACAGGTTGTATGAAGTAATCCGTCCTGTCGCTTAGATTCAGCAAGGGCACTTAATCCAAAATCTGAGACCTTTAGGTTCCCATTCTCATCCAACAGTAAGTTTTCCGGTTTCAGATCACGATGACAGACTCCTCTACTGTGGCAATAATCAACTGCACTGATCAGTTGTTGGAAATATTTTCTTGCAACATCCTCTTTGAGCTTCCCCTTAGCTACTTTGTTGAAGAGCTCACCACCTTTAACATATTCCATGACAAAGTAAATCTTGGTTTTTGTGGCCATTACCTCATAAAGTTCTACAACATTTGGATGTCTGATAAGTCTCATAACAGAAATTTCTCGCTTAATCTGCTCAATCATCCCAACCCTCAATACCTTCTCTTTGTCAATTATCTTGATGGCAACACTCAAGCCAGTTCGAAGATTCCTAGCATGGTGGACCCTGGCAAAGGTCCCTTGGCCCAACAATTTCCCCATCTCATACTTCTGCATCAACACGTGCCCTTTGTTTTCCATTTATAGCTTAATATTCAAACAAAATAAAAGCTACTATACCAGCTAATGCAATATATCTGATAAGGATATTTTATGAAATTGATCTCAAGAACCTAAAAGCTCAACCATCTTCACAAACATTGTGCTTTGAGATAATATGTGCTCCTGAATTTGTAGGCACAAAGGGGACTTGAGCACATAACTGAGATGGGCTATCATTTAAATGTTCAATCCCATAAAGGATGAACAAGGGTAGTCCACATGGAGCTATGACTTCATCAAACTCAAAGGAGGAGCTTCTGAGTTTTAAGCACATCTTTCAGCATTCCCTGAATTTTTTTGATTAACTATAATGGCAAAGATGGAAAAGATTGAACAATGAAACTTTTGGCAGATGGATAGTGAAACAGAGCAGAAGAAGGTTAAAGCTTCAATCCACCAGCAAATGTAAGAGATGTTTACCTGAATGGAAGACAAATGCAATCATGATTAAACCGAGTCCAAGCACATAAATTTCAAGAAAGAAAACAAGCCCACATATATACATTTCCATCCCATAGATTACTGGAACTAAATAAAAATAAATTTAGAGATAAAGCTGGGATCATATGAAAATCTGACAACAGAAAAGACACCAAGACAACTCATCCACAGGTGGCAAAAGCTATAGGCCCAAAGGTTAAGGGAATGCCGTTGAATAACATGGAAAGATAAACTTTTTCTTGTAATGTTCAAATGATATGCTTAGATGTAGTTTTCCTTCTTATTGCTAGAATTTCGGAAATTTCATTCCTCAACTAGTTAACAAAATTCTGGAAAAATATCAGCTAAAGATAAAATGAAATGGATGTTAAGAAATTAACAAGAAACAAATCTATGAGAATATGGCGATTTCACATGCAAAATAGAAAACAAACCTAAATTAGACTGCCAAAAACAATCAAGAAATACTTTTATTTGCTTCTAAAGAATATACGAACAATTCAAGATTTTAGCTGATTCTGCACAAGAAGAAATAAAACCTACAGATTTCCATAACCGCAGACGATATAATTTACCGAGGGCATTGCAACTACATTTGCGCAAAAACACAGCTTCATACTGAGATAATTACCAAAAAAGGCAATCAAGAAAAGAAATTTCAAACGGGAATTACTGAAACGTGTAATACTCATTACAGAAAGAAATTTACAGATTCAAAAACCCAATTGTACATAAACATATAAGGTTATAACTAAAATTTAAAGATCCTTATTCGTTAAAGAAACAGAAACCACCATGAAATTCTAAAAATTTTTTTTTTTTTTTCTGTTTTTCAAAAGAGAAAAGCAAAGAAAAGAAAAAAAATGTAAATTTGATTTACCTATTGAGAGCTGCTGAAGGAAATGTTCTGGAGAAAAAGAGAAGCCGAGGTGTGGAGACCAGAGAGAGATATTTAATAGGCAATAGAAGAACGTTGAAAGCCTGGGTCCTCTTACGCCTCTTATATACCTGGAATTGGAAATAAAATTTTAATTAATATATTGTATATGTAAATTTATTGAATTTACTATATTGCCATATTCCGTTTCGACATATATAGGAATTGCTATTCTGTCATTGAGCTGATTTGGTTGTCGTTGGGTGTTTTTGAATTTTTTTTGTTTATCGATTTAAAGTTGAAATGAATTTTGTATATGAAAATGTATATTATAACTTTTTTTTATTGTTTGATTCCAACACTAAAACTTATTTGAAAATTACATTTAACATAAAACCGATGATAATCAAAGTAATTATAGTGAATCATGATTATTGAGCTTGAATTTTTTTTTTTTATTAATAACTAAGATTTTAAATTTTATTCAAAGATTTCGTATTTGAAGCTCGAGAAAAAAAAAGAAATTAACATTTAGTTTATTTAAAATTTTAATATAAAAACTTTAGGTTTATATAATTTATTTTAATATATCTGAATTATTACATAATTTATTTTATAATTTTTATAAATTTAGAATATTCCAAAAATTTTTTTATTATCTTTATTAACTTTGCATTTAAAAATGACTCATTTAAACATTGCATTTTGAAAACTTGAAATTAATTTTTAAGGAAAGATAGCCAGAAAAATAAATTAATAAACAAATTTTAAACCTCAGGGCAAGGCAACCATCGAGGCGTTCGGGCAGTGGCAGCTGACGTAGGTTTTCTAATTCTTTACAGTTTCCTATTTGGCTACCCTGATGTTGGTCAGGGACAGTCGGCTTGTTTACATTGTGTAGCCGTAGACCCCTAACCAATAGAATGATGAAACGTGTAAAGTTCCTCGTGTTACACAGCAAATGCATCAGTCAGCTCTGACGGCGTCAACTACTTAAGCACTAATTTGTCACCATACACGTGTCCGGATAGTTTTCGATGATGCCACACAATTCGAAAATTCCGCGTTTTTTATGTTGGAATTATTTTGTCGCGACCAAGTTGCCTCACAACCTTCTAGACTAATCTTCCTAATTAATGCCTAAAATACTGAAACATAATCCTTCGTCTTTTCACAAATATAATCCATTCAAGAATTTTCTACGGTGATTAACTTTAAATTATAATAAAATATTCATTAATTAATTAAATTATCTTTCATTTCATATAATTAATAAAATAATTTATGTTTATGGATTGAGAAAATCTCAATTAGTAATTAAATTAGTGAAAATTAATTACATTTTAAGATAAATATTCCTCTTCATAACTCATCACTGTATCAGGTATGGCATGTGTTTATTTTTCTGTTTTTGAATTCTTTACGTTAATTTTTACTTCCTTAATTAGCTTAGAATATCTTGTTTTAAAATTTAATTTATGCACGCATTTGAAAAGAAATCGAAAACTGTATAATTGAAATGGATGTGAAGATTTGAAATAAAGGTTGGAAGTTTTGATGATTGTTAGAATAATTTTTAAAAGGTAAAGTGTGTACATAAATATTAATTATTAATTTTCTTAACCTAAGACAATTGAATGTGCAAGTGACGGAAACATCCAACATAATTATATTCAATTGAATGTGCAATTGAATGCTCAGACCTAACACGACTGTGGGTTTATTTATTTTTTAAATAAAAAAGAAAAAGAAAAATTGGGGTTATTATTAAGGTTATTTTTGACTTTTAATATTCATTAGAAATTTTTTTTTTTTTTTTTTTTAAATTATTAATTTTTCTTAACCTAAGACAATTGGATATGTGCAAGTGACGGAAACATCCAACATAATTATTATTCAATTGAATGTGCAATTGAATGCAAGAACCTAACACGACTGTGGGTTTATTTATTTTTTAAAAAAAAAGAAAAAGAAAAAAATTGGGGTATTATTAAAGGTTATTTTGATTTAATATTCATTAGAAATTTTTTTTTTTTTTAGGCTTTTTTTTTTTTTTTTTAGTTCACCTAAAAGAGTATAATTAAGGTTATTCTACTAGACACTTCTTATTTTTTGCTTCCCGGACAATGCAAAAATAATTATTTTTGTTGTTATTACTAAAATTTGTGACCGCAATTGAGTATTTAAATTTTATATAATTGATATATATTTTATTATATATAATTATTTAAGTAATAATTTATTAATATAATCTTCAACTTGAATTTATTTGAACCCATTTAAACTTTAATATTAACATGAATACATAAGCATTTATCTTTCAATAATAATCGAATCTAATCAAATTGAACTCAAGTATTTCCAACTTTTGTTTAAACTGAGCTCAAACTAAATTAAAATTTGATTAAATTTTGAATTTTAAATATTTGAATTGAATCAAATTCGAGTTTAATATTGATATTGTATTGAATTTGAATCAATAAAATATTAAATTCAATTTCGGGACTACACTCCCTATTTTAAATAAAACACGACATTTTTATAAAATAATGTAAAAGAAAAGTATTTCATCATTCAAAATCCATGCGAAGAACATATAGGTGCATATTGGTCGAGCATTATTTTGGCGTAGCGTGGAACAGAAGGTCATAAGTCTAGAAACCTTGACTAGTTGGTAAGTGACCCTTGAAAGTTTTAAACACCTTCGTATGCTTTCTTCCTTCTAATTTTGTATTAGGGTTAGTTTTGGAAAAAGGGACTAACAATAATAATATATTCAAAAACCAAAATTATTGTTATTCTCAAAAAAAAAAAAAAAAAAAAAAAAAAAAAAAAAAAAAAAAAAAAAAAAAAAAATGTTGTCATTTAATTTGTGTTGATAGAGCAAAATTCTTATAACTGATAAGAGTACCATATTATTTTTATCTTTCCATTGGTACATTTTTGTGTATTTATTAATTTCGCAATGCACGTGTCGATAACAATTACACAAATTAGTAGCTTCCAAGTTCCAGTTTATGTCCCTTCATCACTGTTACAAATTTATATATGGCAAAAGGGCAACTTACAAGATATGTCAATTTCTATTTTCAATTTCGAAAGCTACACGTTTAAGGTTTCCTTTCTATTGGTAAATTTTGGTTTGCTAATACAATTAGGTCTTCTTATTTGGAAAATTCGACGAAGCTGCATACTTGTCTTTTCTATAACATGTCTTTGTGATATGTCCTCAGGAAAACAATTTACCCAACAAACCCTTCATATGGTTTTATGAAGAGTTGGAATTTTGTTAAATGAGATTAAAGAGATGATATGAAAAGCAAGAATGCTTTTATTATATCAATCTATCACATATTCAAATAGTTTATTTATTAATTTATTATCTACGTACATAATTAATTACAACTTTTATTAATTTAGTACAAATTATTTTTTTAAAAAAAAAACTAATTTTATTTTGTAATTTGCTCAAACATATTTGCTTTTCTTATAAGATTTTTTTTTTTAATCTTCAATTCCAGAAATATAGTTAGTTCAATTTGAGTCTTACACAATTTTCACTGTAGAGGAACAAAATGTTTAAATTGCAATTCATGTATATTGCGGCAAAATCCATTGCATTGAACCTTTTGAGGAAATTTTAGACTTGTTTATCCGCCTACAATGAAAGTTATGTCAGGTCTAAATTAAGCCATTTAACACGACTCTTCTAAATTATCGTTTTTTTTTTTGAATTGTTCTCCATTATCCTTACTTTATTCCCAATTTTTTTAACATGGAGCTGCACATGATGAAATTTTGCCTACTATTCTCCATTTGACATTTTAATATGATTAAGTTAGTAGGATTCATCCTCAAACTTAATCCAACGTAATTGGCCCTACTTTTGAAACTATACAAATAAAAAAAAAAAAAAAAAAAAAAACCAAATTAAAAAAAAAAAAAAAAAAAAAAGGAAAAAAACAACTACCAAGAAAAGAGTAGGAATGTCTGTGAAATCAATTTTTTATGCTGTAGCGTTGTTGGACGTCATTAAGCTTGAGAACATGTTTAATGGTTAGTTGTTGGACGTCATTAAGGCTTCGAGACATGACGCGCTGACTTAAGAGTTAAGGAACTTCTCAATATTCAAACATAATTTGACTTATTTATTTTTTATTTTTTAAAATTTGATTCTTTTATTTTTTCATTAAATTGAGCTGCTATAACGGTATCGTCTTCTTTCTTTCCTCATAATTTTTTAATTTCTTAATTTTTTATTTTTATCTATGCAAACATTTGTGTGTGGTCTCTCCGACGTGTGGAACCCACCCGCCCCACCCGCTTTGAAAAAAAAAAAAAAAAAAAGAGAAAAACGTGTTAATTGAAAATAGGTGAAGGTTGGCAACCAACCATGACATAAATGGAGAGCCATATGTAACTCACACACGGCTCTCACATTATCTCTCACATTACCTCTCCTATAAATAAGAGAGGATTTGCTTCATTTGAGACACACAGCAGAAACGAGAGAAAACAAAATGTAGAGAGAGATATTTAGTTTTAGGAAGGTTTTCCTAAAACGTGGGGAGAGAAAAATAGTGAGAAAATTATTATAGGGTGTTTTTTGGGAAACACTTTTGTGTGCCACTATTTTTGCATTACTCTCTTTGTGTACTTACTATTTTAATAGTGGAAGAATGATTCGGTGCCACTATTTTTGCATTACTCTCTTTGTGTACTTACTATTTTAATAGTGGAAGAATGATTCGGAGTTTGTCCCGTGGAAGTTGCCCTAAACAGTTGAGGGTGAACCACGTAAATTTCTGTGTGCCCCATTTTTATTTTTTCGCTGCGTTAATTTTCTCTTACTTGGTTGAAATGATCCAACAAGTGATATCAGAGCTGATGCCCAAAAACTGGTATCAGAGCTGATTCCTAATAACACTGTCTTAAGGACTAATACAATTTGATTTTGATATATTCTCTCTATTCACATTTATCAATCATTTTTGAAAGGTAGTCTCTACTAAACACAATGACTGTTATATATAATTTATTTCATCTTCTATTTCATACATGCATGAACGATTAGAATAAAAATCCTACACATTCTTTTCTTTGTGGTAATAATCAAGTAACGTTCATTATCTTTTCAAACTCCACTAATTGACAAAGCCTCTTGAGAATTTGCACTAGTAGATTAATCTTCTAAGTGCTCGCTAATGTACACTAACAAACTCATGATCGAGCTCTCAAATTGCTCATGCACTTGGTTTTCCTGAATAACTTGTATATTTCTCAGCGGACGACCCTTTTTTTTTCCCTCTTATAATAGCAGTAAAACTCCTCGCGAAAACCTTTCGCAGTAAGCTCGTTCAGAAAAAGCTTAAGCCGCCAAATTAGAAAAAGTTCAATCCTAAACGTTTCCTTCAGTTGTACCATGCTTTCGTTGATAGACTTCGCTCGTTAATGAAGGAAAGGCCGGAGCAAGCCTACACTAGGTGAAAGGCCGGTTACTACTAAATGAAATAATAACTAGCGGTGAAAAAGTACCAAAACAACTGACGCAGAGCAGAAAATTAAGCTTCCAAATCCATTGATTAAATATTAATTTCAAACCATAGTTACAATATAATTACAGCAATAGCATGACCATGGTATAGATATTCTATCATACACGTACACACGCTTGGAGCGGAAGAATTTTCACAAGATTGAGTCCACAGTACATTAATTTTCATTCCACTTTGATCTCTACTGCCATAATTATGAATCAGCCTTTAGCACAGTTGCTGCTTCCTCGCTATTAGGTTTAGCTGAATCACAGGCATGTAACATAGTGCATATATCTTTGGTTTCCAGAAACTGTTCTGCATTAGTAATGATTATAGGACCATACTCGAATACCATCCTCTTGCACTGCAAATGAAAAGATCGTTTTAGAACTAATTGAGCACGAAGAAAAAATAAAAAAAAGAGGTTGAATGTCCTACTACTGTTAGTTGCGAATTTTAACCAGGACAGCAGGAAATGATTTTCCTTTTTTTTTTTTTTCAATTGTGTGATGCTAAGAGGTCAAGTTCTCACATTCTTATGAGTAGTATTCCAACATAGAATACCATCAAAGCATGAGAGAACTTTAATGGCTTCTAGCACACAATTTTAACTTTATGCCTTCCTCAATAGCAACTCAAGCAACAAAGCCGAATAGGCCATAGACGATAATTCCATGCATATTTCATTTTAAAAGTACTTGTACCATTTTTTCTCACCTTTGCTGCATTCTTCTCCAAAGAATCACATGCCTTTAGAAGCAACTCGATTATCTCAAGCTGACACAAAAACAATAAAGAGTATCAGACAGCTGAGTGAGCCAAATATCTTCATGGTCAAAGAAAAAAAAAATGCACAAAAGAAAACCTAACGAGGATTTTTCTGCTAGAAGAGTCGCATAATAGTGAACCGATAAAGTTTTCGCAGATAATTGCAATAAATCATGCATGCTAAAAGGGAAAATAACAAAATTGGAAAAACACTTGGTATAATCATACAGTAACTTGATTGCAATATTGAAAAAATGCATCTTTTGCGGAAAAAAAGGCAGCCGAGCATAACATGATCCAAAGAAAGACATTCCATTCTACTAGTGGAGTAGGCAAAAATTTTATCCATATCATTTTCAACGACATAAAATTTTATGCAAAGTTTTTATATATATCATTATCAAGGACATATAAAATATTCCCACAAACCATATGAGGTACCGAAAATGAGATGACTGTGCAAGTACTAGAGAGAAAGTGCAGAAATATATGTAGTTTCAACAATAACTGCAAAAAACTGTTCATGACTTTGTTTCCTTACTGCTAGTCGATGGTGTGCGTACATACCTGTGTGTCAGGGTTTTTCAACTTAATTAATACTTCTGAAACAGCACGATGGCAAATTCCACATTTGTCTTCTTGGAGTTTTGAGAAAATCAATACTATTTCCTGACAGAGATTGACTTTTTTACAGAAATCTGCAGGTTGTACGGAGGAAATCTCCAGAAAGAAGAGAGGAGCATAATAGTCCACCAAAGTGATGCACTGTGCATGCAAATTATAGAGTCATTAGAATTTTAACACCATGAAAAATGCCAAAATCAAAATTTCAAGAACTTTTAAATAGACACAACAGAAGGTTCTACAAGTTCAGTCCATCTTTGATATTACAGCAAGTGAATTTAGTTTCTCTATGTATCCTTATTAGTGAAACCAACTGAAGTAGAAATTTATGGTACCGTGCATTTACACTTTGCGCCATATATTTTTTTCATCTTAAAAAGGGGTGTTATTTTAAATAAATTTATTTGAATGTGAATTTGAATATCTATCAAAAAGATGTAATTTTACACAAAATTTGAATGGTTTCCTCCTCTTTTCCAAGCGCAAATATTTATTTATAATACTTCAACTTAAAATATCAAATGCAAATTCTTGAATTCCAAACTCTCCCATCCTACACAATACAGTCTTAAGAATCTTAAATTCTAAAGATTTTTTTGTCTAGAAAATACAAATCTTTAAATCTGTAATCACTCTTATAAATATAGGAGGGGTAGCTATAAAAAAATATTATTCACATTTAGAGTCAATCAAAATGGTAAGATCATTCTGCAGATAGATTAATCCTTTGGCTTTCAGTTTAAATGGGGAAAGCCTATTAAGGAGCTGTTTAACTTTTGATTTTCTTTATTGTGTCATCTAAGTGAGGCTGCATCTTATTGAGCCCTTGAACTTTTTGATTTAACCAAAAAAAAAAAAAAAAAAATTTTGATTTACCAAAAAAAAAAACCACAACACACATGATACAAAATTACACAACATAAACAACAAAAAAAAAAAAAAAAAATGATACAAATATTTAAAGCCAAAATACTGAAACTTGCCCCAAGAGGTTCGAAAACCAAAAAAAATTAATTAGCAAAGCACAATACATTAGTGCTCAATAATATCAAAATAAACAAGTAGGCTTCAACAAAACACATTTTCAGTTCAAAAGCTCAATAGAAAAAATATAAAGGGCTTCTTGATGAGTTATTCCATTTATATGCTCAGAATTTTGCATTCAAAGAGACAAGGATAGGAAAAAGTGAGATGTTATTCAGTCCATAGAAAAGACAAAAAGCTTTGGTAGGGAAAACTAATGACAGAACAAAATGCAGAAAAGAGAAAAGGAGGCATATAGCATTTTGTTTGAATAGCAAGTACAAATTTCAAAAACAATATGTGCTACGCTCAAACTTTCAGCAAAAACTGACCATCATGCTAAAGCTAAGGGAGTACCTGTTCCTTGAAAGAATGGACCTTAGAGCAGGCCCCATGAAGGATGTCAACAATTTCAGTCTGAGTCTTGTTTTCAGTTAGGTAATCAAGTGCTTGGGTAGCAAATTCCTCACACAATGTGCATACTTGGTTATTTTTGATAACTCCATCTGAAGCTTGATTTTCCTTTTCTTGTACCTGGTCTCTCATTTGTGTAGCTGAACCAAGAAGAGAATTGTTCAGTAATATTTCCAACAATAAATTTTTCACATTAATATTCCTTGAAAGCATATGATAAATGCTGACAAAAGTACTTTGGTGGGTACTGGAGAAAAAATTTAGTTCATGCCACCATATATAAATGCCATTAAGCATATGTGTGAAAGTGCAGCTACAAATGTTAGAACAGTAGGATCAGATATAGATAAATTTCTTATAGCTGTAGAACTATATCAGGGATATGCTTTAAATCCATACTTGTTCACCTAGTAATGGTTAATCTAAAGAATAGTATATAAGATGATGTCCCATGATCAACGAAATAAACACAGGCTTAGCAAAGGACTAAACCAAAAGTTGAAATTATGGAGAAGCATTCTTGAGAGTAAGATTTTTTTAGGCAGCAGAAATAAAGCAAAATACACCCACTATGAGTTTGGGGCCTGAATAAGAAGAATGGATGTGAAGTGAGATTGGACAGTATTGTGGTACCTAAGTACAGTCAATCAGATATCAAGGTTTTGCATTTCAGAAGAGTGACATGATAGATGAAGATGTAATCCATAGAATTAAGATATGATGGATAAAATGGAGAGAGCTACAAGCGTGCTATGTAATACAAAGATATCTAACAACGTAAAAGATAACCTATGATGTTTTACGGAAGTAAATGTTAGGCCCCTAAAATCAAACATGTTTATAATATGCATGATGTAGAAATGTGGATATTAAGATGGCTGTGTAATCACACATGGACAAGATTAGAAGCGGCCACATTTGATAGAAAGGATAAGTAGTACAAGTTGGGGATAAAATAAGAGAAGGACGTCCAAGATGGTTTGATAATGTCCTACAAGACCCCATATGCTCCAATTCGTAAGTGTGATACATTGACGGTGGAATGTGTTAAATGCAGAAGAGGTAGACTAAAAAAACATGGGCAAAGTCATCACAAAAGATCTACTAATTCTTGACATTTGTGGGGATCTAGTTATGAATTAAGCGGAAAAAAGACAAAGAATTCGCATAGCCAATCCTGATTAGTTTGGGGTTAGGGCTTAGTCATTGTTGTTGTTGTAATAATCTTTGAAAGCTCGAAATATTTCTCCAATAAAAAGGGATTACTTGTCAATGCCACAAATTGGAAGCAACTTAAATTGGACTGCCATGTGAAATATCATTGTCATCAAGAAACAAACTGAACTGTACTTATGGCAAGGATCTAAATCTTAAAGGATCACCAAGAGACGTGATATACATAACGTCCGAAAGGAATCGATTTCTAAAAAATGACATCTTTCAGATGAAGCAAGATATGTTACTTCACACTTATACATATCAATATGGCTATTACATTTAACTTTAACGAAGTCCACCCAAGATCATGTCATGAGGCATGGGTGTGACAACTGCTGACATTTGTAGTTCCAAATATATATATATATATATTTTTTTTACATTTGCATCTCATATCTGATAAATCTTCATTTCAATAAATTTTGAGAAAAAGATAAGCTGTTAGTTGTCACAACGCTCCAAATAAAATGTTATCAGCACCATTACAAAGTCAACTGTTCTTAATTTAAAATTTTCACCAATAAAGCTACCGATAGACTTGAGTGTTAAAAAAAATCAACAAAAGATGAGTTACATAGCAATCTGTGAGAATATAACATCCAAGACATGAAATAGAATTCTAACAATGTGCTATGGCCAAGCAGGATCTAAGAAATGTGCACAAGAATAAATTGGACAAGCCAAATTAGTCTGGAAAGGACATACTCATAAAGTGTGCGAAAGACTGCTCTGAAAACATACAACCAAAGCTGGATCATAGGGCCTAATGTTGCAAACACTTCTGCTGAATACTGTCAGAAAAGTTAAATGTTACCTGGTAACTCAGAGATCGCCATGCTTCTACGAGAAAGCTCAGTGTCAGCCATTTGTCTAGCAGCACAAGCCCAGCCAGCACCCAACATAAGAAGAAATAAGAGCCCAACTCTCACGCCCATGATATCTTAAGTAAAAAAACAACAGTAACATCAAATTAAGAAATTGACTTCAAAAATTAAGAGGTCCAGTATAATTAATGACAAATTGATAATAAACTAATAGTAAAAAAATATAGGGAAAAGTCAGTGCTGAAGTATTCCATATATGAAACTCAAGAGACTGTTATCTACGGTTATTTTCATAATTGTTTCAACGCCAGAAACATTGTAAGCACAAAAAGCAAAAGGCAAGGGTGTGAAGAAGAGAGTTGGGTTGCAATTGCAAGGACATCCTCATCTCAGGCACATTCCATCTAATTGTAATGACTAGCTCAATGATATCTCTAACTTTTTCTTCTTCTTCTTTTCACCAACCGGGCATCTGATATTTGCCAATAAACTAATTAGATAGCCAAAATAATTGCTCCAATACCTAGCTCAAAGTTTAAAATGTTGTATGCCGCAACTGCTCCAATTGATCAGATTAGCAATTACAGAATCGAAAAAGAAGCAACTTAGCAATCAAAGGTTAAATTTCGCAACAGATTCCACTCCAGAAACTACAACAAAAAGCTCAAACCATGGCTTAATTGATCCACACAACTAGAAACTCAGAAGAAATCATCTGATCTTATAACTTATAAATACAATATCCTTACTGTCTTCAATCTTCCATTAGCATGTTCCAAATATTAATCAACACATATCAAGAAAAAAAAGATAATAATAACAGAGAGAACAAGAAAGAAACTGTATATGATCATAACATACTTTTAGCTGTACTATCCATATATTCGGAAGAAAAATAACTAATTGAGAAAATTAAACAGACCGAGAGAGAGCACCTAACGATTTTTTTTTTTTTTTTTTTAATAAACTAAATTGAGAAAATTAAAAAACAAAGAATACCGAGAGAGAGCAACCTAACGATTTTTTTTTTTTTTTTTGACAGCCTGATATGATAAGAAGGAATTTTTTCTGGCTAACCAAACAAAAGATAGATTTTTTTTTTTTTTTTTTGACAGCTGATATGATAAGAAGGAATTTTCTGGCTAACCAAACAAAAGATATAACAATTTCAAATTATCAGAAGAAGGATAGGCGAGGATTACCTTTTGCAAAATTAGGTTTTCGATTGAGGGTGTCAACAGAGACAGAACGATGTTTGGTACCGTTTGAGCGTTGGGTGAGGCAGAGGCAAATGCAAGGCGTGGAATTGTAGTTGGTTCTTTCCTTCAGAAAAAGCAACTCCTTTAATTTAATTGAGTTTTGCTATTATGCGGCAAGTAATACTAAACCATCAAATTAGGAGGGGATGATTTATTATTGGAGAATGATTTGGAATGACGTGGCATGATTTTAGTGGTTATATAAGTTTGACTCTGGTTGGATCAGACTCCAGAGTAGAAGGATCAAACTAGAATCACATGGCGGAGTGTAGTTGACGATGCAAAGAAACCAACGTGGAGGATAATCCGATTAGAATAAGAACGTAATGGAGAATATTGATTATTTTCATTAGCAAACAAAAAAAAAGGGTTATTTTAATATTTTAATCAATATCAATACGTCATCGTCAAGGAAATAATGGACAGGCAAAAAATAGTTTATTTGTAAATTTCTCTCCGTGATATTTTAAACAAGTGTTTGGATTAATTTTAGTGCAAATTTTTAATCAGATATCAATTGGATCTGACTTCTTTTACTGGAATAAATGCATAAGTAAATTGATTTATTTTGGGTAAATGATTCAAATTGATATTTTAATTGAAAATTTCTGATAAAATCAATCTAAAAATTCAATTTGGAATAAATTGTACATTTACAATAAGTTCAGAATTGAAATTGAATATTATTATTTTTGAAATTTTTGTGTATGGAACGGAATAATACCGATATTTGTGGGATGGGAGCGTTTTGGATTGAAGGATAACATTTTACACAACCATTGTTATATTTTTAAATTGTTGTATGATAAAAATAATTGGACAGAAGCAATGGAATTAGCCTTGAAAAGGATATAGGAAATATGGGAAATATCATAAATATCATCTTTACAACAACCAATGATACGATACATATATAGTTAATAGAAACAACTACACGGGAACTAGAACACTGCAAAACAGGAATATAAAAGAGTCCACCACAGGAAGGGAGGGAAATTAGAAGTTAGCTGATTGGAAATATTGGCGGGCAAATTACCTCAAGTTTAGAGTTGGCTTCTTCTTTTTCTTACTCTCCTTTGTTAAGAGTAAAGAGAATTTAGCAAAACCAAACTTCTTCCTCTTACCAGAGAACTGCTTGTGACTGCTTTCCTTCTCGACCTTACGATTTGAGGGCACATCACCATTTGGTTTACTGAGCATTTGACCTAGTGAGACCTTTCTCTTCATGGTGCCTTTTTCCGCTGGCATTCCTGTCTCAAACTCTTCAGGCAAGAGCAGCTTCCTGCTAAGAATTTGGCCTATGGATAGGGTCGGCTTCAAAACAGGACTTGACTCATCATTTACTAAGTTCAGCCCGTTTACATCAAGCAAACGAGAATCCCTTCGATGGTGAGAAGGGTATGAGTGCTTAAACTTGGTAGAGTTGTGAACCGAACGTCTTTTCTGCCCATGCTCAGACCTCCACTTGCGAAGAGCTTCTTCAACGGCCAGCTTTCCCTTATTTGCTGCCTCTACTCTGTTCAAAGCTTCCTCCAAGGCCTTCTTACTGGTTTTGACTTCTTCTGTAGCTTCCTCTACCTTCTTTAAGATTTCCGTCCTTGAGACATTTGCTTCATCAACTTGAAGCATAGCATCTACTACCTTAGCCTTTGATGATTCCTCGGCTTTCTGAGCTTTGCAGGTTAGAGTTGAATACTCTTCAAATGTAAGAGTTACTCCTTCAGCTTTCTGTAAAGGATCTTCCGATGAGTTCTCATGTCCTGACACAGCCTTGATCTCTGCAAAAGCAATTGCTTCTGCTGCTCTTGCAGCTTGCTTCATTTTTCTGGCAGCAACCAACCTGATCTCAGCTGTTTTTATCCTACTTCTTGTTTGTTCAATCTCCGATATTGTTTTCATAACTTCAGATTGTGCAGCCTCTCCCATTTTCTTGAACTGCTCTGCCTCAGAATTCAGCCGCTGAAGCTCCCTTGATATATCAAAAGAGTTCTCTGAACCATCTTTAATTTCAGCATCTTTTACAGCTTGAAGTTTTAGTTTTGTTTGGTTTAGCTCTTTCTCAAGAGACAATATTTTTAAGGAATTCAATGTCAGCCTCTCACGGGTTTTTTCAAGTGAAACTCGTTCCTTCTCTAATTTCTTATTTAGAAATTCAACAGAACCTCGAATGTCAGCGAGATCATTGGTAGTCCTAGAAAGGTTCAATTTAGCCTGCTTCAGTTCCATTAAGATCAAACCAGGAGTTGAAGAGGGGCAGGGGCTTAAACTTTCCATCAAATTCTGATTATGATCTCCAACATTATCATGGTTTTGGTCATTCTCCTTTTCTCCTTTTAAATCAGGAGTCACTTTTTGATCTTCCGCAATTGACTCCAAGGTCACATTGGCTTCGGATGCCTGTTTCTGTAGCTTTAATTTAAGTTCTTCAACCATCGTTTTTGTTGATTCCAACTCTTTTAGAACTTCTAGTGTTTCCCTTTCTTTCAATATCAGATCTTTTTCCAGCAGTGCTGTTTGTTTCTCTATTCTTGAAATGTCAACCTCTTCCATCTCATGCTATATATTAAACAAAATCAAAGAGAAAGGAGATTTCATCAGAATACAAGCAAAACTGGAAAAATGCAAAGAGCAAAAAACAAGCATGCAAAACAGTCGGCGATTGTCCTAACATGAAATGAAGACATAATATAAGGTCCATATTATGAACCAGAAGATAAGGACTAGATAACTTTGAGGTGTAGGAGTAACAAATGCATCATAAGAGATATGGGTAGAGTGTCAAAATGGGTTGGCGTGTTGGATTCGATGTCAAACCCGTCTAACACATGACACGATTAGAGTCAACACGAACCGGATCCATTTAATAATCATGTCAAGTATTTAAACACGGATACGATATGAAAATTAAACGATTAACACGAACACAACACGTGTAATTCGTTTAATTAAATGAGTCATATATGAGTAAAAATAAAATCAATCAAATTTAGTTAAATGGATCGTATATGGGTCAGAAAACGATACGTATAACATACATAATCCGCTTAATATACATATTATGTATGAAATTACATTTTTATCCTTAAATAAACGGGTTAGATGAGTCAAACATGACAAGACACGTTTTAACTTGTGTCATATACGGATCGCTCGTTTATGCCACGAACCCATTTAGACTAAGCCCTAACCTGTTTAATTTTTGTGTTAGACAAATCCTGTCTCATGACCCATTTTGACACCATAAATTGGGTGAAGGTTTTGATCCTTTCATGGAATAATTCGACTGCTTGACTATTATTTGAAATATGAATGCTTGATGAAACATTCAAAATTCACCAATTGGTCATTCTGTTCATATCTAATTTTCCATTGCAATAAATATCAAGCTGATAATAATACTAGGAATCCAAATAAAACAGCTCGATTGAGGTCATATGAAAGAATGATCTTCAAAATGCAAAACATGAGGAAAAAGAAGTTTACAAACACAAAACGATAGATGTGTTCTGGTAACAAGAATGTGAAGCTGACAAATTAAAGAACGGATATTGAAGTTTGAACCCATTTTTATGATATGTCCTTGAAAACATGGAAGGTAATGAAAAATGGCAGCATTTAGCCCTCTGCCACATTTTGAACATAGAACAGAGTTATCAACTCAACTTCTTATGACTCGCTCATACACTGGCTTCTTCCCAAATGAAAAATACTAATTAGATCCAAATTACCAGCTAAAAAGAATCATCCCCACAACTAATGAATGAACGACAAAGAAAAAGCCTTTCCGGAGAGCATTATTATTATTATTATTATTTTAAAAGAAATCCTTATAGTTACACACACTAACAATTTTCAATCTGGAACCTGGAATTTCAATTTTGAAAAATTCAGTGTAATCGTTATCAAGATCCCCAGCTTAACCCCACGGATCCGTGAGTCAAGTCAAATACAGCAACAAATTTCGATAAAATAAAATAAAACAAAACCACCAACTTGCTATCAAAAAAATAGATTAAATATTTTGCTTATCATGTAACAAAACCTCAAATAATCCCAAACCAAACATTTAACAAAGATAAAGAAACAGAAGTAACCTCAGTTTCAGATAACTTATGTTGAGAGGGTTTCCAGTAACCGATTCCACCGAATCGACTCACTGCCTCCTTCACGGACTCAAACGGAGCAGAAGTATCAATCTCTGCTCTCAAACTCCCTAACCCGGCTCCACTCTCGCCCGTTTTGGAGCTCGATTCTGTAATCTCCGGCTCCATTTTAGGGTTTCAGTAACAGAAATTTGAAGAACTAAATTGAGTTAAAAGAGATACTGGCTTTTCTCAGTAGTTGTGAAAATGTAGTTTGTTTTTGGCGTGAAGGAGAATCAAAGAGACAAAGAGGCAGAGACGAGAAACAGTGACAGTAAAGCGAAGCACAGTTTGAGCAGTTTTAAGACGTTTCAGTATTCAGAGACTGAACAGAGAGGGAAAACAAAAAAGAAAGGCCAGCGAAAGTATACGTTGGATTTTCTTTCGTTTGTATTTACTGAAAAGCCCTCGAAACGGCCAAAACTTCTGCTGCCGTTTTCGCTGTAGTGCTGTACAATAGTTTTTATATTTTACCATGTTTACCCTTGGTGGTGAAAACAATGTCACTTTGGTTTGAAAAAAGTGGGCCCTCCTATGTTATCCAACGGACTTGTGGTTTTTCTTTTTTTTTTTTTTTTTGGATGTTAGCCATATGTTACTCCTTGGGTGGGTGAAAACCATAATGTCACTTTGGGTTGCAAAAAGTGGTCCCGTCCTAATGTTATCCCGACTTGTGTGTTTTTTTTTTTTTTTTTTTTTTTGGCCTTTGTATTGAAAGAGCGCGTAGGAGAAACACCCCTTTGGGCATCAATTGGTCCATGGCAAGGTTACTGATTTAAAGGTTTTTTTGTTTAGAATTTAGAGTTAGTAATCTCTTTTGATCCGTGAGTGTAAATATTTTCTACATTCTCAGTAAATACGATTTTCAGAGTATCGAATTTATATTTTCACATTAAAATTATTTATTATTTCAATCAATATTTTAATAATACAGTTTGAAAGTTGAATAATTACCTTTTATTTAAATTTTCTTTTAAAAATATTAATAAGAAGAAAAAAATGGGTTTATATGTAATTATTTGAAATTCTAAAAAAGAGAAGGTTAATTACTATTCATATCCCATTTTCATTCTATCTTCATTAACTATCTTCACCACCTAAAATTCACATGCAAGGAAAAGATTGAAGTGAAAGAGTAAAGAAGCTGAAATTATTATTAATTGTGAAAAAGAGGAGGGAAAGTGGGGGCAAAAATCAAGAAATCATGCACCCATGTATCCGGTAGGTCACAGAGCATCATCATCATCTAAGTTAGTTAGTTAGCTAGGTCATAGGTATTGCATTATGAGAAGTTAATTGAAGGTAAAGTTAAAAGGGATAAGGAAAGCGAGGCTAAGTACCGTCTACAGTGTGGGGTTCCCTCTTCTCTCCTTCGGTAGTGAGCTCCGACATAAAATAATGATACCATTCTAATTTCTTTCTTTAATTTTCTTTTTCTTCGACAGCATAAATGAGGTGACCGTTGCATGAAAAGTTATACATCTTTTGTACATGAAACCAGAAGCATTGATTCCTTTCTTCCAGGAAAAAGAAAATGAAGTAAAAAGATGTTGCCCCCAATTTCAATTTAAATCTTATGAATTAAGTGGGATAAATTAATTATATATATCTATTGAACTTATTTTTTAGATTCATTATGTTTTAAATAAAATTTTGGTGCAAAATAGAAGTAGAATAATAATTATTGTCATATTTTTTTTTTTCCAAATAAAAAATAGGATTCACCTTAGGTAATTCATCATGTTCATGCTAATGGTGTAAAGCCACAAGCACCACAACGGCATTGCTTTTGTGAAATCCCTAGCACCAAAAGGGTTGGCCCATTGACCACTTCACAATTCAAAGGGCCTAGTTATTCTAAACTAGGTAGGTGAAACTTTTCAAACCAACTTAAAGCCTCTGAAGTTAGTAATCACTTCAGGCCCAAGCCCATATTCAATTAGCTTATTCTTTGATAAGGATGATCATGATATTACATAACACTTACCTCATTACTCTTGGCATATTGGCTTGGTTGTCCCATCATTTTTATGGCATTGCTAATGTCCGTCGTTGTAATAGTTAGTCTAATATATTTCTCTTTTTATTATACTTAACAAGGAATGTATATTTTAACTTAATTAGGAAAAAATAAAAATTTGTAATCTACTAATGAGCGAAACTCATTGGTTAAAATTTGTAAGTTTTAAGCATTGCTGTAGCAAATGAAACCATAAGCATAGCTATCAAATACCATTTCAAGCTATTTCTATCAAACTCAAACATCAAAATCACAAGAATACCAAACTTTTCTTCTCTAGGAACAAGACAAACACAGGCGTGTCAATATTTCAGTCCATAAAATAACATTCTGATGCTTGTCATAGTACCATCCATCATAATAGTTTTTTGAGGTGAGTATCATATCATATCCATGTGGGGCTTCTCCTAATCAAGTTGTAAAAATCTAAATTTTAAATACAGAAATCAAGTTATTAAAATTAAAATCTAATTTTAATAATTGGATATATGAATGGTAATTCTTATTTCTGCCATCTTGTGGACAGCTGATCTAATACCTATTGGAAAATTATTAAATAAGAATAGTGGAACTAAAGTATTGACAGGATGATGACTTTGTTAATAAAGAGAATTAACTAAGACCTTTGACATACTAAATACATTATTATTTTTAATCAAGTAAGACATAGTACTTGATGGTGAGAAAATGTATGCATGGGTGGGTAGAATGCATATTTCAAACTTGACATTTTACTTACGCAAAGAGCTAATTCTAATATTTGAATAATATTTTGTGGGTTTTATGTCTACTGTTTGCAATGCTAGGCTTTTAATCAATCATTAAAGAAATGTTAAAATATTTAGATCCTCTAAATCTTTTATAATCATAACTTATTTGGATATCATAATTGTTACTATTTTATATTTATTATTATCATATTTATTTTTAGAGGTGTGATCAATAGCTTAATTAATTATATTAGAAAATATTAAAAAAAAAAAAAATGTAAGATGTATTGAAAGAGGAGCACTCAACCGCAATGCTTATTAATTAGCTTAATGGTGATGCCACAACTCCTTACACTTAATAATTATTCAATTAGAGAGTAATAGAACACTTAATAATTATTCAATTAGAGAGTAAATTATTCAATTAGAGAGTAATAGAACACTTAATAATTATTCAATTAGAGAGTAATAGAAAGAGAGATTTTAAATTTACGAGACCTCTGTATCTATTGAATTGTTGGGTAACATCTATCAACTAGGAACAGTTAAAGGAAAAACGATTCCAACAGAGATTTTCTCAATCCATACAGATTAAACATTCGATATCTTACTTAAAAGACCTAAGTCCTTTTCCCTCGTATCATTCCATGTTGATTGCCTCTAGTTTCTTTTTTATAATATGAAAATATGGTTTTATAATTATGAATATTGATTAAAGTTGCTTTAGAATCTATAAATGAGTCTGAATAACATTTGGATTACACACCGAGAAACAGTTTTCTCATTAAATTAATGAAAGTGTTTTAGTGACTACATATGACTAGAACCTGAAATCTATTGTTAGTTACTTTTCACATATTTAAAGAAAATAAAAAAACCGACACACATAATTGGTAAAACTTATAAACATTAATATTAATATTAATATTAATGTCAAATGTTTATTCATTTTGAATAATTAATTAAATAAAGCATACTAATATATAGTCTAATGAGAAGTGTATATATGACCTAATAGTATATTCAGATTCGAATTTTTTCTCTCTCGATACTTAAAAAAAAAAAAAAAAAAAATTCATTTTTTTTTTCACCACCAAATTAGCCACGTTTTATGGAAAGAGTACTTTATCTCTGCAAGTACTATTATAGGAAAAAAAAAAAAAAAAAAAAACATTTTTTTTTTCACACCAAATTGCCACTTTTATGAAAGAGTACTTTATCTCTGCAAGTACTATTATAGGTCAAAATCTATATGATGGCTGCCCCAAGGCCAAATTCATAATGAATTTAGGTCAAGTCCTTCTAAATCCAAAAACACTATTATTAAGTAAAGGGTCACAAAAATGATCAATCATCCTTGGACATTAAATATTTCAGACAAAGTTGGTCTGATTACTATCCAAAGGTACAGGGATGGGGTTTCTCAAGGACACAGGTCCCTCAAAATATTTAAAGTATCCCTAATATATAATATATTGTAATTTTGATTATAAATTTTTTTATTAAGTTACATACACATACTTATTAATTTATCCATTGACAAGAAACTCAAACTTCCCTCGCTCTAAAACGTGCATAGGCATCTATATATATGTTAAAAATAATGCTTAATTTGTCTTTTAAATTTTGTCGTATTGAACTTTTAGATCACTTTTAATTAAAAAAAAGCCAATTTAAGTCCATTGTTTTGATTGAAACAAGTGCATTGACAGAGTAAAAAATAAATAAAATGTTTGAGTTGAAAGAAAATCAGATCGTTAACTTTTTTTTTTTATTATAAGCCTATCGTGGTATATTGTTCAGCCAAAAAATGGATTAAATTGATTTTTTTTTTTATTGAAAGTTAACCCATTAAAATTGATTTAATAATTCAGTTTCAGATAAATTGTAAGTAGTAAACAACTCCAAAAGGCAAATCGGAGATTATTTTTAAAAATTATGTACTATCAGCAAACCGGAAGGTCCTACAGAGCCCCCGGCAGCTACATATTAATGTTTTCTAGGGTATGTCCATATCTGAAGACGATGGTTCACAATTTTGGAAGATGCCTTGGAGGTTATATATATGTTGTACAGGAATTTCTTTTAATTGTGTGCTATTGTGCCCCATATAAAAATTAATTACTAGCCAGGTAGTGTCAATGATAGGGGTCGGACAAGGGACAATGTCTTGATTGGAAGATGTGAGAATATTTAAGGAATAGCAGCAAACTCTCCGATCTTGGTTCACATGTAACCGTACCAGTGAATACTTCTCCATTAGATCCAAATGGAGTATATATTAGAGTAACACTCTGATAATAACAATAATTGTTACCATTTAATTAATTTTATAGATCCAAATGATTTTTAAAAAAAAAAAAATTTCAAACTTAAATATACAAAAAATTACTTACAGCAGAATTTAATTTCGTAACTAAGTAAATAAATAAGTGCCATCCTCCTTCCCCTTCCATCCCATGTATCTCTGCCCTTAGCCAAGGGAGCATTTCTGGTGAGCTAACTTGAGACATTAATGGCAGCTTTTTTATTTTATTTTTTGCTAAGTTTTGAACATGATAGCTTATATTCAAAATTATATGTATTTATAAGATTTTATTCAAAAGGGTTTTTCAAAATATAATTATAAAAAGTGAATTATAAGATCACTGACCTTAATAATTATAAGAGAAGCATATTTCAATAACTACTCTGATACAATTGTATTATTTTATTATCATTCTGGTCTGTGTGTATGGGATTAATTTACAATAAACAGTCGGTCATGGGCCTCATGGCAATAGGATTGGTTGCTAACAACGTAAAATAAACTAAACAAAAAGGAATTGCCCAATGGCCCCTAGCTCATATACTGGGATTACAAATTAGAGAGAGAAAATCTTGGCAAGACGCATGTGTAATTTAGTTAATTAATTGAGTTTTACCTATTAAGTCTTTAATTTTAATTTCTATTTAGGTTTTTATTTAAAATAATATTAAAAATTTGAATGGCTTAACATCGATAAATAAAGATTTAACGACTTAAATATAAATAAAATTTTGATAAATTCAGGGACATTAACTATGTGCAGTATCGCAGAAAATCTTCTAGTAGAACTTAGCATTTTCTTTCTCCTTCCTTTCTTTATTTCCTTTTGCTTTGTGGAAATTCTTTAACCAATGGTCCTATTTGAGAACGGTTCTTGATTACTTCTCTTTATAGTTTATACCCTGCACGGTCAGGAGGATCCCTATGCTGACCTTAGAATCTCCTCACACTTAAAAATACGTACCTAGTACTGTCATTGGAGTAATTGATATGCATATCAAGAATTTGCATGTCTTTTAACAAATAAATTAATTAGGAGGTTCAAATCTTACTTTCCATTAAAAATTTCTCACATCATTAGTAATACCAGGGAGGGGAAGTTAATTATTATTTCTAGAGCTCTGAAATTTGCTGATTCAAACATTAATATGAGCTCCAATTTAAGAAAAATGAAAGAAGGTAATGGTAGAAATAGTAAAAAGAAAAAGGGGGTAGGTGATATAAATACTCACAGGGTATTATATTGCCATTAAAGCTCTGGTGTGGGTCACCATGCATTTGGACACAAATCTTTCAAGTCAATACCCAATTTATATTTATAATATAGGCATGTGTTGTTTTTTATTTTAAATTTATACTCTTGTAAAAAATAAATGTAAGTACACAATTTCATCAATCAACTGGTACCTAGTTTATATAATATCTATAAAATACCAAGAGGTGTGCTTCTTCTTCTTCTTCTTCTTCCATTTCTAAACCTGTAGCCATATCCCATAATTCCAAGATGTTAAGTACAAGCTCATCAGAAATTGCTCCAAAGTCCCTCCAAATTAAAGAAGATGACAAGTTCTTCTCCAGGCTTCTTTCCAAAGAAAGCTCCAATGCTAATCCTTCTTTTAGGGTTTATTATGGTGGAGTTAATGTTGCAGTTCCATTTATTTGGGAATCGCAACCAGGTACTCCTAAATACTCTTTTACTCAAAACACACTGCTAATTCCTCCATTAACTCCACCTCCTTCTTTCTATTCAAAATGCTATTCCAAGAAAAACAAGAAACCTAGTAATAATAATTCAAGATCCCATAATCTTTTCTACTTTGTTTTGTCAAGAATCAAGAAAGTTACCAATATGTCCAAATCTCCTTCTTCTTCTTCAGTTAATTTATCCCCTACATCATCTTCCTCTGCTGCTTCTTGGTGTTCTTTGAATTCTTCTAGCTTTCTTCATTCTACTCATGATCAGCGAAGCAGGTTCTTGAGCTTTGATTCTCGAGCTTGTGATGAAGAAGTAGTTACCATTGATCAATCACCAACTTCGACTTTGTGTTTTGGAGCTAGTACTAATAGAAAAGTATGGTGGTGAATGGTAAGTGAAAAAGAAACATCTAATATATAGTTAATTATGGTTAATTTGGCCATAGATTTTGTTGGCCTATGTACTGTATTTGCTCTCCTGTTTAAAATCTCTATCTGTCTGTTTATCTTTTTCTTTTTCTTTTGTTCATCCTGTTCATCTATGGTAGTGGGCTTGGACCACAAAATTATGTCATTGATATGTATTGCATATGAGAGTTATTTGATAAAATATATAACACTTGTTAATTAATTTGCTTATTATGCACTTTAATTATTTTGTTTTTGATTGGTTAAAAGAAAACACAGAACGTGCACGCGGGTTAGGGATAATTTATTTTTTATTATTAGACCATAAAAAAACAATATATGCGGCGTTAGGGATAATTTATTTTTTATTATTAGCCATAAAAACAATATATATATATATATATATATATATATATATATATATATATATATATATATATCTCGTGAAGTTATATCTCGTTGAAGTTGAAATTCTTGACCTATTTCATGACGGTTTCAACTTCACAACTAGATTAATGTATTAGTTAATTAATTAGTTAATGATTTTTTTTTTTGGTGAGAAAAATATTGATGGATATACACTTTGGTGTGTGTGTGTTTATATATATATATGGTATACAATTTGGTAAACTTTCAACCAAATGAAATTGTTAGGTTTGGACAATTTGAGGAAGCTGAAGAAGAATGCATTTAATCTTTTAGGATTAGTACTAATTTTTCCTTTTGGAGAGGATCAATTTCTGTTTTGAGAAGTTATACAATTTCCATCATTATCACTACTAATCACTCTATAATGCACTATGAAACAATTAGGTGAAACTAATTGCTTTAAGGTGATGGTAATTTGTTTCTTTTTCTTTTTTTGGTTTTCCCTGCAATTTTTTTTTAAACTATAGGTCAATGCATGACATTTTACTTTAAGTTCGAATTGATAATTTTAGTTTTTATGCTAATTATTAGGAAAAAAAAATTTTAATTAAGGAATTGAAGTATTTTATACTATATATCATAATTAGTAATAAATTAAGTGCAATAAAAATTACCATGGATCAACGGTGTAGACTGCATCTTCTTTCAAAACCTAAATTATTAATATTGATTCATAAGATTAAATTTCTAAAAATATAATTTTCATCATATTATGAAAATTCTCCTTTTTTTAATAATATATATATTTAAGTAAACTAGGCATTCTGCCGCTTGCGGTTTTTCACTCTTTGACCTACAGAGCAATAATATTATTAAATCTCAATTCATAAATATGAACTAAACCTCCAATTGTAAGTCACAATCACAAAATGAATCACATGAATTTTCTTTTCTTTTTGAAAATATTAAATTAGATTTATATTAATTATAACATAATAACTTACTGTTGCAGTGTTAATTACTTACTAAAAATGCAAAGCCTTACAAAAGACGTTTGTTAGTAGTAGGACACAAATATAATTTGGAGTAAGAAAGGTAATAAAAGAATTGATAAAAATAGAAGGATTAGGCAGTCTGGATCTAGATATCGGTGATTTATAAAAAAAAAAAAAAAAAAAAAAAAAAAAAAAAACAAAAAAAAAAAAAAAAGACAAAATTGGAAGTTGATTATTTAAAGTACAATAATTAATCAGTAGCAATGCCTGTGTCTCTATCTGCCCTTTGTGAATTATTAATTAAAGAGAAAGGCATGGGCTACATTTTCCTACCAAAATTGATATTATTAAATTTCTTTTTTTTTTTTTTTTTTTTTGGTTGGTTCTGTGGTCTCATGGCTCTGACTTTGTTCCTTCATCAAATACTGAAAGCTTATTATTTTTCTTAAATAAAGAAAATCTCTCCACTTCAAAAAAAAAAAAAAAAAAAAAAAAAAAAAAAAAAAAAAAAAAATCTTCTCTTGCTTACTGTAGTACAGATAGATTAATCAGACTTAATTCACCTACTACTTATTTAATACGAAATTTTGATACATTTTTCTTAATAAAATCATTGTTCAGTTGTTTTAAGACATCTAGATCTTGATTATGTAAGCCCAACATTGTAAATCTTAATAATAATAATAAGTCAGATCTAGCATAGCTTCATGGAAACTTCTTCTACTCTTGCTGCTGTATATGTTTTTTATTATTATTATTTTTATTTCTTAATTATTAAAGAAAAAAAAATTGAATATATTTTTCTTATTATTTAGTGTTATAAATGAGAAAATAAGTTTCCATTTTTTTTTTCAAATTGTTTCCTAAGAAATAAATTTCCATGCTATGTTTCGTAAACCATAATACAATGTAATAATAACATTGCAAAGAAATTCATGCAACGTAATCCCTATTACATTATAAAATCTTATATTGAACAAGTTGATAAGAGGTTCCTAAAATTTTAAAGTAAATTTCATATGTATTACTCATAAACATTAAAAAAAAAAAAAAATATATATATATATATATATATATAGATATATATATATAATATTTAATACTATATAATATATTACTATTTATTCACAGGACCCGTGTTCATAAAAACCTAAGAAGGTTAAAGGCTCTGCCAAACCCTGTATAAGAGTTTATAAATAGAAGTCTTATGTTCACTCGGTTGTTAATGGAAAGGGATTTAATGAAAAGATATATAAAAATTTGTCCAATGATTTTCAAAAAAATAATACAACGCACGGGGCCCCAGAACCAGCTGGCAATGTCGGTTGGACCAAAAACGACACATGAGGTAACAAAAGGAAATCCTCGCTTTTTAGTTGGTTTCGTATTTCTAAAATGGCCACCTACACCCTATACGAGTGTGAGTGAAAAGAGTCATTTCAAACAGCTTAAACAAATTGTTTAAGATTGGATACAACAAACAAGAGCTTTATATATATTTCAGACCCGTGTTCATAAAACCTAAGAGGTAAAGGTGCCAACCCTGTAAAGAGTAAAAGAGTCTTATGTTCCTCGGTTGTAATGAAAGATTAAAAAAAAAAAAAAATTCCAATGATCAAAATACACGCACGGGCCCAGAACCAGCTGCAATGTCGTGGACCAAAACGACCACATGAGAACAAAAGGAAATCCTCGTTTTTGTTGTTTCTATTTCTAATGGCCAACCAATACGAGTGTGAGAAAGAGTCATCAAACAGCTAAACAAATTGTTTAAGATGGATACAACAAACAAGAGCTTCAACTTTGCTTATATAATGTCTGAATTGTCGGCAATTCTGCTGCTAGTGACTTCTCCATGTGACTGTGGACCACAGTTTTAATGGTTACGTGCTACACAGAAACAAGGATTCAGAATATTCTGTGGTATTTTGCAAATTGATTCTTATGTATTATAATCATTAATTACTGCCTTTTTTATAAAGTTTCAGAGGATCTAGATTTCCATATATCCATTTCATGTAGGATTTTATTTCATTTTTACATAAGATCCATCAGTATACATATCAAGGGCAAAGAGCAAGAGACTTCATCTGCCATAATATCCATTTTGCTCTGGAACGTTTCAAAAGATACAACTGAACAATTATATGAGAAGGGGTTGACTCTGTTTGTCTCTCTGTCTCTCTAGTTTAGTATCTGTAGAGTTAATCTCATAAAATTATGGTTTTGCATCTTCAAGTATAGTCAAGCATCAGTCACAAATAAGCTGATGATGACTGCCAGAAATAATCTATACTTTCTGACCATGTTTAGTGACTTCATGTATTGCATTTGCTAAATAATTTACATTTCCTGTAGTAACACCGGCCATACTGCACATATCAGCATATGGTCATAAGATTAGAATGGGTCAGATAAGTTCTATAGCACTCTCAATTATAACAAATTAACAATAATAAAAAATTTTAGCCAATTCTCGATAGTAACTTACCTCATTCGACCATCAAGAGTCATGTAAACGTGGAATTCCCTTACGATCCGATCAACCTGTTCTGGGGTTAAGCCAGAGAAGCAAAACATGCCAACCTGCAGTTTTGTACATATGAGAGCTAAAAGTAAGAAACTAAATGCTTAAGCTTTCTGACAATGAATTGAATGTCAAATGGTAAAATACCAACCTGGTTTGTTATGTGCTCCCAGTTGAGAGAAGAACCCAATTGCTTAAGGCCTTCGTGAAGTTTAATCCTCATTCTTTGAATGCGATTTGCCATGCCCTTATGTTGCAGGTACGATAAAAAGGTACATCAGATTTTCAGATTCATTATATGGAGAGGAAGCAGAAAGAAAAGGTTTAAGGAATAATCATTGTTACCTTCAACTCTTTAACCCATAGTGACTTAATATCTGGATCGCTCAAGATTGTTGAGACAAGTGATATGCCATGAACAGGAGGGCTGCTATACATTGCCCTGGCAATTGTCTGCAGTTGGCTTTTAATTGCAACTGCTTGCTTCGTATCATTGCAGAGAACACTGACATAACAAAAATGGAGGTTGAAAATAGCTACTTGAAAAGGAAAAAGATGATGGCTTACTACAGCAATTACATTATGCATAAGCTATTGTCATTTAGCTTAATAAACGGAAACAAAATTTGGGTTATGATCTATCAATCTCTTATACAGTGTTTGCATCAAATCAATCAGAATTCATTTCATTTGCAAATAGATTTTCATTAATAAAATTTATTTGTCAATAAATTCTCCTGTTTGATACCCTGACTATTAAGTATAAATTTTAATTTACTACGTTAACCAATTTTAGTCAAGTTAAATATTTAGTTAGCTATATTAATTTAGAGACCACTTGCAAATTCTGTTAAATTTGATAGGATTTAGTTCAAACACAACAATTCCACAAAATTAATTAAATTGAGTTCCAAATGAATTTTCATTTATACTCAACATAAAATGTATGTATTACAAATGAATTCCACAAAGTTCTTGGTATGAACAAATTTGAAGTACATGATTCATCTATAAATGATAGAATTTGGTTTAGCCATGTTAAATTCTGTAAAAGCAAATTATGGGGAGTAAAATGAGCATTTTACTGTCATTTCAACTGTGGAAAGTATATAACTTTGTGGAGTTCATTTAAAGCATGAAATGGCTAATAATTTTTAATTCTTTACTTTTACAGCAGGGTCTGTAGTGCCTTTATGGAAACAATCAAACAAATATACATATAGTTAAAATAAAAACTGAGATTTGCTTCCAACCTGAGACAACCAACTCGATGTCCATATAAACCCATGTTCTTCGCAAAGGATTGAGCACAGCCTATTAAATGCCCATCTTCAAGAAAAATACGAATGGATAGAGCATCCCTATCAAGGTCTCCGCTTGCAAAACCTTGATAAGCCATGTCAAAGAAGGGGAAATGATTCTTGACCTGGAAAGTAATTAGAGACTTAAACTGTTGATCAAGAATCTGTGAAATGCAGCAAGTCAAAACATGTCATATATAATTACCTTGAACTGATATGAAATTTCTCTCCACTGTTCCTCCGTGGGATCAACCCCAGTAGGGTTGTGAGCACAGGGGTGAAGCAGGAAAAAGGAACCATCTGGGGCATCCTAAGGAAGCCATCAAACAAAGTGAATTGAAGAAAATCAACAAATAAATGTGTATATAATAGTTGCAAGATTTGATATTTGGCAGCATTGAGCTTAAAAAAACCGTATTTAATTGATACAGTATCCAGAACTAGTTACATGACTCCTGCAGCCAATAAACTACTTTGTGAAATGAAGATGCACAGACATTATCAATAAGTAACAGTTCTATAGAATTTATCAAATGTCTAAACCAATTTATGATTAAATAAGAATTTTTCCTGAAAGTTGAGTCTCGGCAAATGACACAATGAGTGCTTGAGAAACCTTTACTAAATAAAGAATTATCACATAGTCTATGAGATATTTAGAAATTCTTGTAGAATGACACACCTTTACATCATTCATAAGTGCACTGAAATTTAAACCCTTCATATCAGGATGGTAGTAGTGAAAGGTACTCTGAGGAACTTGGGCATCTCTCCATATGTTATGGTGGCTATTAATTACAGAAGTTAGAATGTCAATGACAGAAAGATGGAATCCATAAACTATTCCAATTTAGATAACAATAATTAGATTAATCCGTTGGTAAATTGCATTCAGGTCCTTAGGCTTCGCATTTAATTACACCCCTTCCGACTTTAGATGCATATTGTTTTCAATTATGGCAAAGGACCTGAATGTAATCTATTCAGAAAGAACTGAAAAGATATCCAAAAATTACTTACTTAGACCATGTGGGATCAGGCAAATACATCGAAGATTCAGGATAGTAACGCCTTTGGAACTCAGCAAAGAGGCGACATGCACCAGTTCCCGAGAGTGCTTGAACTCCGGCAAACCTCCCTTCTTTTATAACATCTGAATCTTTACCATAAACCAATTTGACACTCTCCTCTACCAATTTTGAACTCACTGCAGATGAAATAGACTCCCTGCAAATGCCCCTTGAGAGTTTATTATAACATAGTTGAAATTGATTCTGCTAAATCAATACCGAGTACCGACATAAGAGAAATAATGAGGGGAGATATCAATTTTCTCAATTTGCATTTAGCTGGTTAGCAACTAATCATTTATCTAAATATTTGTTATCATTTTTCAACAGTAGTACAACTCAATCTGTTAAGAATCCCATATTTCCATATTTATAGCTAGCTAATTGGTTAGCATTAACCATTTAGCATTGGTTTGGTTGTCACAAGCATAAGGAAACCCACATTCTCAACTGTATCTCTGCCAAATTATAACTCAATTGAACCTACATTACGGAAGAGGAAAAATTGAAGAAAAGGGAAACTCACAAGAAATCACAGCCCGCAATCTTAGCCTCAGCATCCCGAACACATTGAAGAATAACAGGTTTACCCTCGTCATCCCTGTAAGCTCCCTAAAAAGTGAAAATTTTAAGAAATAAAACCAACAACTCATTCATTGTAATACCCAAGAAAGCTGAAAAAGAAACAAATTTCAAAAGGAGAAAGAAGCAACTAGTTACCACTTACCACTCCTAGATTGATCTTGGTAGGGGAGGTATCAGCAACAAAAGCCTCTGTGACACTAGTAATGGGGTCCTTGGGAGCTGGGCCCACATGGTCCCACCATCGAAGAAGCTTAGACGAGGTAGAGAAGCATCTTGATGTTCTCATCAAATGATATCTCCACATAATTTATGATGTTAGTTACCTACAGTTGGTGCAGCGAATTGTTATGTTTGGGTCTGAGTTAGCCCAGACATAAATCTCTTTTATAATCAGCATGAACAGAAAGTAAAGTGTCATCATCTTCTTCGATGCGCCGCTTCAGGTTTTGAAAGAGTGATTCGGTGGGCTTACTGTGATCTTTCCTGCGCACACCGTCTAACTTAGTTTTTTTCCATTGGCTGGGTTTCTTTCTGACAGAGCCAACAGAAATAAGGGGCATTGACTGTGTTTATGTGTTTGAGTTGACTCTTGTCGCGTCTGGAAGCCGGGAATGGCCCAACCCAAAATTTATTGGTGCACGTGGCAAACAGATACTCATTTCTTACACTCGAAATCTACTTTTCCTTTGGGCCCCATTAGAAAGAATTTTTTGCAATTGGGCTCGCTGTATATCCAAACGGCTCACACCCAAAAAATTTTTAATTTTCTTCTTCTTGAATATCTCTTTTTTTTTTTCTTTTATAATTTTAGACTAATAACATTTTTTTCTGATTCAAATATTAATTTTTAATCTCTAGAGTACCGTTAGAGATAAAATTATGTATTGATATTTCAAAAAATTATGTATTGACATATGAAAGAATAATATATCTTGTAAGTGGTAATGGGAGAATAATTGACTTGAAAAAAAATAATCTTAAAAATTTATTATTATGTCAATAATAAAAATAAATTTAAAAATATAATAATTCTAGACTAATTAATTAATCGATTAACAATAAGGAAAAATGTATTAGATTTATCTAAACTGTGTTTGTAGTTCTATTCATAAAAATAAACTAATGAAAATAGAGATTAATGAAAATAGAGATTCTTTTAAATATTGCTTCAATGTTATCCTTTTTTTTCTCGTTAATATTAAATTAATCCCAATAATTTTTTTGTCCTCCATCTTTTTGAATTTCTAAGAATTAGTCACTTTAATAAATTTCGATGGATATTTTATAAATACCCTCATTTCAATATTATTATTTTTCATTAATTTGATTTATGAGTAAATTATAAATCGAATAGGTAGCCAATCAGGTGTGGTCTAATTAGTCTTCCTACTGCTCATAGTAGACGTAGAGAGTTAGAGGTTTCAAATTTTAGTTCTCTCCAACATAAAGTTCACCAATTTGGTGAATGTTATTTAAAGGGGAGTGTAAACATGATCCCACAAAATTAGATTGTATCCCATGATCTTAGGAGTCCCTGATTATAGAGAATTATTTGTTATTGTGTATATGTAGTTACCCAAAGTAGCTAGTTGACTAATGCATGTATATATACTGCTAGTGGTGAAAGAATAAATCATTGAAAAATATTTTACTTTCTTGAATTATTAGTTTGTCAATTCAACATGGTATCATAGATTCATAGTTGGTTTGATCCAAACATAAACTTCACCCCAGAAATTCATTCTTTTCTAATGGGAGATGAAACTCCTCCATCTACGACTATGAATTCCATAACAAAAAATAAAAACATATCGTATAACCAGCCACCTCAAATTATTGTACAACAAGACAATTCAACTTTTCCAGTTGGAATTGTCCTTGATGAAACGAATTTTCCATTATGGTCACAATTGATGGAGACGTGAATTGGTGCACGAAACAAACTTGGATATCTTACGGATGAAATTGGAAAACCAGCACTTGGTGATCCTAGCTATTCTACCGAGGTTACTGATAACCATAGAGTTAAAAGTTGGCTCATTGATTCAATAAGTCCCCACCTAATGCAATGATTCATTCTTTTGGTTACAGTAAAGGAGATTTGGGAAGCTGTTGCAAAAACCTTCTATGATGGATCAGATGAGACTCGCCTGTTTGAATTAAACTAGAAATCCTTAACATTGCACAAAATGGTCGATCCTTATCTACCTATTATAATGAATTAGTTTCAATTTTTTAGGAAATTGATCAACGAACGATTGCTTGAGAGGAAGCGGTGGAAGGAATCATTCATGTACACTCTATGATGGCAAGGCACCAATAGCAAAGTTCTCTGCATTCTCATTTCAATTGCAATAAATCAAGATTGGATGTTGCAACAGTTCTGACGTAAAAAATGCCTTCCTAAATGGTGACCTAGAGAAAGAAGTATACATGGAGCCTCCACCAGGTATAAAACAAAGTTCCATAGAAGAAGGAAAGGTATGCAAGTTAAAACGAATCTTTGCACGGGTTGAAGCAGTCACCTAGAGCTTGGTTTGAAAGATTCTCATCGACAATGAAGTCAGCTGGCTACAAACAAAGCATTTTTTTTATCACACTTTATTCATTAAACACAAAGGAGGGTAACAATATTGTTTGTATATGTTGACGACATGGTCTTGATTGGTAATGATACTGAGGAAATGGAAAATAAACAGAAATATTTGGCTACCAAGTTCGAAATGAAAGATCGAGGACATCTGCGATATTTCCTAGGAATCAAAATATCACGATCAAAACAAGGAATTTTCCTTTCCCAACGAGTATGTATTGAATTTGTTGACCGAAACCGGCATGTTAACATGTAAGCCAGTTGAAACACCCATGGAGTTGAATCATCAACTTGGAATTTCATTTGGTCGAAGTTTGGAAGATGTAGGTCATTATCAACGACTAGTAGGGAAGTTAATCTACTTAGCTCACACCAAACCGGACATTACTTATGTAGTAAGTGTTATAAGCCAATTTATGCACACATGAGTGTATTCTACATAATATTGAGGTATTTGAAAGGAGCTCTAGGAAAAGGGTTGTTGTTCTCAAAGAATGAACCATTTACTATTGAAGGGTACACTGACGCTGATTGGGCAGGAGATGCGTCAACTAGAAAATCTACCTCAGGTTATCTTACATTTGTAGGAGGTAATCTTGTTACTCGGAGAAGCAAGAAACAAAACGTTGTTGCTTGATCTAGTGCAGAAGCTAAATTTTGAGGCATGGCACATGTATGTGAGTTGTTATGGATTAAAGGAATTCTAAAGAACATTGGGATCAAATATTTGAAGCTAATAAACTTATTATGTGACAACAAAGCTGCGATTCAAATTGCATAAAATCTGGTACAACATGATCGTACTAAACATGTTAAGGTTGATCGTCATTTTATTAGAGAAAAGTTGGATAAAAAGATTGTTTAGTTTCCATTTGTCAAGTCTAAGAGCCTAACTTGCTGATATTCTCACAAAAGCAGTTGCAGGAAGGATATTTCATGAAGTAATTGACAAGTTGGGCATGATAGACATCTATGCATCAATTTGAGGGGGAGTGTCGACATGATCCCACAAAATTGTATTATACCCCATGATCTTAGGAGTCCATGATTATAGAGGATATTTTGTAATTATAGAGAATTATTTGTTACCATGTATATATAGTTACCCAAAGTAGCTACTTGACTAATGCATGTATATATATTGCTATTGGTGAAAGAATAAATCATTGAAAAACATTTTACGAATAGATTATTTCTTTCTTGAATTATTAGTTTGTCAATTCAACAGAGAGAATTGCTCTCTGTTGTGTAGCCCACAATATTATTTTGGTCCATTGAGTCTGTCATGTATCAAAAAAAAAAAAAAAATCATAGATCGAATAGGTAAGTCAATCCGAAGAAAAATCATAAAAATGACAAAATGGTTAGATGAAACATTAGTCTAATATCAAGGTAATGTCATAGAATTTATGTTTTTTGCATGTGGCGTGAGAAAATTGAGACATTCAAAAGTAAATTTTTTTAAAACAAAAAAGTCAACCGAAATAACAAATTTAACAAAGGATTACATCATAACAATAAATTCCAAAAAATAATACATATTATTGCGTAAAATTAATAGTTTCTGTAGTTATTAACATTCTAATAGCTATCAATTATTTCATCAAATGTTAAAAGGAATAACTTTTCATATGTCGCTCTTTCAAACTCTAATAAACGTTAATTGAAAAAGTTATTGCCCAAACAGTGTGTTAATAATCTAAAATGTTTATTCAAACCTTGTGGCTTGATTTCATCAACAATTTCACCTAACCACTTTTATTATATTTTTCGTATAAATGAAGAATCATTGACAATATGTATTAGTATTTAATTAATGGCCTTATATATATATTGAGACTCAACTCAGACTAAGGATTACAACAGCTGTACTACGTGCATTTCATTTGCTTGCTATAGTCGCATTTCTTTTTAATATTCCTTCTTATTTTCATTTAAATTAATAAAATTATTTTGGTTATGATGGTTATGTAGGAAATAGATATAGAACATAGTGTAAGTGGATAGACATGAAAAATAGGTATAAAATAAAAGTCAAATGAACAGAAATCGGATATACCAACCTATTGTCTGATATACATAATACATGTTTCAAGTCAAATTAGAAGTTGTTCCCACATCAAGTGGTTTCAAGAAAATGAACAATAGATCAAGAAATATTAAGATTATTAATTAGTAAAAATTAATAAAAGCAACTGCAAAAGTAAATAAAGCTCCAATATTGAATTATTCTAAAGGGGATCAATTTTTTTGTGAAAAAAAGAAATTAAGAGGGAGGCTCGACGCGGTTACTTACACTTCAATGCCATTGTTTGGCGATTATGATTGTTGCTGAGTGAAAATGTCAAATTACTTAAGCTAAACACTCTGATTATTTTGAAGAAAAAAGAAGCTTTGTCGAGGTCAAAAGGAACAGAAGGATGTCTCTTATAAGTAAAGCTTTGTCGGGCATTATCTATCTTCATGCTGAATAAGCCATAAGCCAATCATTTATTGACAATGATTTGACGCAGTCCACCTTTAATATCAGAGTACAGTATAAAGGAACTTATTTTATTAGTCCACCTTTTTAATTAGATGTCACATTGGAAACTATATAACAAAAAAAAAAAAAAAGTTCGTTCCATATATAAAGTACTTTTTTTTTATATAAACTACCAAAATTTTATTATCAAGCACAGTCTAATCCTGATCGAAATTTAATCAATAGTTAAAATTATTCGTCTTTCTCTGTAGATGTATTTAGTGGGAATCAAATCTGAGAGTTCTTTTCACGTGTTTAATCTGTGCTGCCAACTGAGCCACAACTCATAAATACTATTAAGAGTATTTTAATATTATATAAATAAAAAATTAGAGTATATATTGAGCAAAATCACACATCATAAAAGTACAAGTTTATAAAAATGAAGCAAATACTTTGTTTACACTTGAACCAAGTATTCAACTTGGATATGGCACTCTTTTTTTCAGTTTATTTTCTTGAGAAAGAGAGATAAAACCTCACTACAAATACAATTTTAACTTAGAAACAAATAAATCAATTTTTCAAAAAAAAAAAAAAAAAAAGGAAGAACAAATAAATCATTTGTCAAAAAAAAAAAAAAAAAAAAAAAAAAAAAAAAAAAAAGGAAGATTTTACAAACTATTACACTCCGTGTACAACAAATAACACTCCATCATCAAACATCAATTCACTTTCCTACAATTCAAACGAACTTGGCCTTGATTTCCAGTCAGTGGTTCTATATTCCCCATTTTTATCATAGACTGACCAAAATCTTGCCAGAAAGCTTTTGCATTTGAGCTATAAGTATTAACAAGACTATCAGTTGAGCCACCGCTAAAAAGCTGTTGATCAGAATGAAGAAGCCCTTTCTGGTTTTTCAAGTTTGTGAAATAAGCAACGTCAAAGCGAGCAGGCGTTGGATCTAGAGGTGCAAGATTTGTGTTACCTCCAGTTCTTGGACAAGTCAATCTTCGCACTCGAGCAAATTTTGGGTCAATATTAGTTTCATTATAGATTCTATCCCTAAAAGCACCACACTGCGCAAAACCTAATGTATGGCCACCAGATAACACAACAAGGTCTTTCTCGTTAAGTCCTTGCTTCTTGAAGGCATTAATAAGTCCAGGAAGGTCTAAAAATGGTGATGGGAGATCAGTGTTTGCTATATCCTTGAAAGCAGCTGTTGAGTCTCTTCTCCCTAGCTGTACTCTCCATGTTGGCCCTCCTAGCTGCATGCCAAGTTATTTTTAAAAATTAAGTTAGCATCATATTATCGTTGCACCTTTTTATAATATAGGAGGTTAACTTGTCAAAAGTAACATTCTTGACGTGAAATAATATTATTGTTTCCACTGTGTGTTAATTTGTATGGTGAAAAATAAGTGCGGTGGTACTGGTGCAGTTTAGTATGTCAAGACCCAGTAGTTCTATGAGAGGAAAAAAAAAAAAGATGGTAAAATAGAATAGATACCGCAACAACAGAATCGCGAGCTGCAACAGCTAAGATGTCTGCACAAGAAACCACAGGGCGGCCACAAGCTTTATCAACCTCAGACTTAATTTGGTCAATCACTTCAAATCCTCTAGCAGAATTTGCATTTGGGACTGCATTCTTTTCACTATCAATGGTAGGAGACGAATCCAAAAGAATTGAAGCATCACAACCCTATTTTAATTATATCAAAAAAAAAAAAAAATCAATAAGGAAACCTATATATGTGCGTGTGTGTGTATAACTACAATGATTAATTTGCATATATATAATATGTTCGTACGTGAACAAAGCAATCATGGAAGTGAAGACGCAATAAAGAAGCACCCATTCTTCGTTCCCTATACACAGCAGCCTCAACAACTCGTTTGATAGTTGGTAAAGCTTTAGGACAGAGTCTGTCATAGTAAAAAGGAGAAAGTGCTGCAGAAACTGTTGAAGCAAGAATCAACAAAAGGTACCCACAAAGGAATAAGCTGATACGCGAAGCCATTAATATAGTAGGGTTTAACAGCTATATTTGTATATAGTAGAATCTGTGTATTCAGTATTCAGAAGTCTTTTTTGGTGTGGGTTTTGGCTTTGAAGATATGAGTATTTATAGATGAGCTTGGGGATTTCGCTGTTATTGGACTTGGCAACGAGTTTGTGAGTTGTGACCATGTCCATGCAGTGAACGCCGGAAGTTAATGTTTTATTTTAGTCTTAAAGAAATGTTAATACAAGCTTGCTCAATCCTTTTAATTAAAATATAATATAAAGCTGCCTTGTTAGTTGTTACGTTGACACAGCCTATATTCTTCCACTGAATTAATCAGAGTTAGACGCGTAATTAATTAAAAATTAATTGACTATGTGGTGGGCATTTTTTGTATGAACCTATTTGTTTTAATCCCAACGCCAGAATGTTATACTATATAATAAGAGAACCATATCGGATAGCATTAACCATATGTAAGCTTGAGAATCTTAGGATCAGCGGTAATATTGAACAATTTGAAGATGTGCAGCGTATGCTTGATGATGTTGTGCACCGTGAAGAGGTCTTCTGGTCTCAAAGAGCGAAATCCTATTGGTTGAAATCTGGGGATATGAACTCTAGGTACTTCCATACAACTGCTAAAAAACGGAGAAAGTCGAAGCAAATTTTTCGGTTGAAGGATGCTAATGGCGAGTGGATAAGTGACAACAATTCGCTGAAAGGTATGGTGAGTGATTATTTTATTAATCTATTTGAGTCAGGGGATGTTGACTTAAGTCCTGTTGTGGGTTTATTCTCTCCTTTGGTTTCGGATAATGATAATTCTATGTTACTTGGAGATCTTTCGGTGGATGAGGTAAAATTGGCTGTGAACCAGATGCATGCGGATAAAAGCCCAGGGATGGATGGTCTAAATCCTAGATTTTACTAGAGGTTTTTGGGATGTAGTGGGTCACAATGTTGTCCAAAGTTGTCGAGACTGGTTCAATACAGACGTTTTTCCAAATAATCTGAATGATACCTTAATTGTGTTGATTCCGAAAGTAGAGGACTTAGAGGCAGTCAAGGATTTTCAACCTATTTCACTTTGTAATGTATTAATTGTGTTGATTCCGAAAGTAGAGGACTTAGAGGCAGTCAAGGATTTTCAACCTATTTCACTTTGTAATGTAGTTGACAAAGTATTTGCTAAGGTTCTGGCGAACAGGCTGAAGACCATTCCGCCTAATCTTATTTCATTATCTCAGTCGGCTTTTGTCCCATGCCAGTTGATCTCAGATAATGTGTTAGTTGCTTTCGAGTTAATCCACTCTATGAAAACAAGAATGACAGGTTGACAAGGAGCTTCCGCACTGAAAGTTAATATATCCAAAGCCTATGACAGAGTTAATTGGTGTTATCTACAGGCTGTTTATGCAAAGCTTGGGTTTTAGCCAGCGTTGGGTTGACTTGATCATGCTGTGTGTTTCCTCTGTTAAATACTGGGTGGGAGTGAACGGGGATGAGGTTGGCCCAATTATTCCAGAAAGAAGCAGACATGGCCAACGAAAACGAAAACGAGAATGAAAACATAGTTGGACCACCACTTCAACATCCGGTTCGAACCTTAAGGGATTATACAACACCTAATCTGAATGGGACAACCTCAAGTATTACTAGACCTAGGGTAGAAGCTAATAACTTTGAGATTAAACCTGCACGGATGATAGTTTGTTCTTTTTCGAGGCATCACGGGCCCAAGCTCTAGAGATTAAAAATATTATAGTTAATTATGAAGCAGCTTCAGGTCAAGCGGTTAATTGGCAAAAATCAAGTATTTTCTTCAGTTCTAACACTTATGCGCTGGATAAGACTGCTGTTCAAGGGATTTTTGGTGTGATTGCTCCTTTGAACCACGAAAGGTATCTCAGCCTGCCATCATTAATTGGTAGGGAAAGGAGACGTATTTTTTCTTTCTTGAAGGATCGAGTGAGGAAGTTGGTCAGTGGTTGGAATAAGAAACTCCGATCCAAAACGGGTAAAGAGGTACTCATCAAGGCTATAACACAAGCTATTCCTTTATTCTGTATAAGTTCTTTCCTTATTCCGGTATCTATTCTAGTGGAGCTTCAGTGACTAATGAATTCCTATTGGTGGGGAGGGAAGATGAGATGGTTGAGTTGGGAAAGGCTGTGTGTAGCGAAAGAAGAAGGAGGTTTGAGTTTTAGACATTTTCAAAGTTTCAATCTGGCCTTATTAGGAAAGCACTGCTGGAGGCTTTTACATAATACAAACTCTCTCTTTTATAGCTCTTTCAAATCTAAATATTTCCCAAGTGGGGATTTTCTTGGTGCAAGTGTTGGCCGTAATCCAAGTTTTGTATGGAGAGGGATTTGTGCAGCTAAAGATGCTATTTGTTCAGGATTTCGGTAGAGAATCAGAGATGGTCAATCAGTAAATGTCTGGACCGAACCATGGCTATTGAGGGACAATCAGTTTTGGGTTCACTTGCCTATTCTTCCTGGTTTTGAGCATATATGGGTTTCCGATCTTATTTTGGGACACGGGGCATGTGCTTGGAATTTGCCACTAATACATGGTCTTTTCAATCCTTCAATTGCTGAAATTATTACGTCTATTCCTTTAGTTACAAATGTCCAGGACGACATCCTTATATGGCATTAGACAGACTCTGGAATATACTCTGTGAAATCTAGATACAGAATAGTAGCCTCTCAATATGTGGATACTGAAGATGCTCGGCGGTCGAGTTTCTGGAAAGCTCTTTGGTCAATGAAAATTCCGCCGAAAGTGAGGCATTTTCTCTAGAGGTGTTGTCGAGACATTCTGCCAATTAAAGCAACTTTGGCCAGAAGGGGACTGGTGCTTGATACAGGATGCGATTACTGTGGTACTACTGAAACGTTAGTCCATGCTCTTGTTGAGTGTCCAAGAGTAAGTTTTTGTTGGCAACTTTTTGGTATTTAGCTTACTATTGGGAATTTTCCAACTTTCTTACATCTGTTGGAACATTTACACAAGGCATGGGAGAATGAATTTTTTGAGAGTTTTGTTATGGGACTATGGAGTGATTGGTTGAGCCATAATGAGCTGAAATGAAATCAAGTGAAAGAAGGACTCTATCAAGTGGTTACTCGAGCCAGAAGTATGCTAGCATCTTGGAAGAAAGCACAGGGGAAATCGCCAGATTCGGGTACAGGTACAGGTGCTAATGTAGGTAGTCAATGGTATCTGCCACCTGTTGGCACTTTTAAAATAAATTTCGATGCAACTCTTCTCCCTCTGTCGGCCATGGAGTTGTTGGTGCTGTAATTCAAATTGTAGTAGCGAGTTTGTATCAGCAGCAACGTTTTCATTACAAGGTTGTTCTTCTCCAGCAGTAGCAGCAGCTCAGGCGCTAAGAACGGTGTTGTCTTGGTTGCTGTCAGACTACTCCAACTTGAAGATTCAGATTGAGACTGATTGTCTGCAGGTTTACTGTGCTATGAGGAATTCTGTCCAAGACTGATCTGAGTTTAGAGTTGTTATTTTTGAATGTAAGCTACTATTAGTCAAATTGCCTAATATCACCTTGGCTTGGATAAGACGACAAACTAATGATATAGCTCATGTATTGGCTAAATCAGTTTCTTGTGGGGCTTGTTTTCGAATTTGGGATATTGTTCCCACTTGTATTGCTCATTTTTTCTTCTAAATAATAAAATGCCCAATATTTCAATGTTAAAAAAAAAAAAAAAAAAAACCAAATAATAGAAAGAGTGAAATCAATATGAAATACAAGCGCACACACCGAAATATTTCAGTTAAAAAAAAAAAAAAAAAAAACCATATGTAAGCTAACTACCAACTCTTCAAGAGTCAATAAGCTTCACGAAATGCCCCATGATGACATGGGTCTCACTCCAGGGCAGACGCATAGAGGATCCAACGGGGCCTGCCTAATCAAAAAAATAAATTAATTAAATTCTTGTGTAAAAAAAGGTTGAAACAAAAAAAATTTTGTCTTCATTATGCAAAATTATGTTTTGGCTACTAACTCTTTATGCTGGGCCAGTCATTGGTCTCGCTTACATAGTTATTGTTAATTTTAATGTACATATATAACTATTTTCCTGTCAAAAAGTGTATATTTCAACAAAAATAAAATAAAAACCATTGAACTAATAAATGCTCGTAAATCTTTTAAATCAATGATTAAGTATTTATTTCTTAGTAAAAAAATAAAAAATTGATCATATCCATCTCGTTTAAAAATTAAAATTTATAATAAGACTATCTAAATGAAACACTTCAGTAAAACCCAACTTTACATGAAGGATTAAAGCTTGCAAGGAATTTGGGGTTCAGGAAGGTGATTAAAAGAAGTTGTGGATTGGGCTACTGGTGTAATTTCTCTTTAAGTTTTGCTTCTCATTGTAATAAAAAAAAAAATGAATTTCTTGAAAATAAAATCTTCTGCAGTACTTTTTTTTAATTATTCAATATTTGAGCTGCTAATTCAATTAATCCAGATTTGCATCAAATAGGATGAAATGAATTTTTTCTTCTTGAATTAGGTGTCTCGAGTTCAAATCCAAGATATGTCCCTTTAAATATTCAAAAAAGGCCATTTTGATTCCCTTAGTAGATTACACAACGTGAATTCAAAATAGTAAATTTAAAATTGAGAGACGTTCAAAAGTCAAACTTTTTGTTTTTTTAAGAAGAAAAAATGTCAAACCAAATTTATAAATTAACAAACGGATTAAATTATAACCACAGCCTTAAGTAATATATTTAGGCTATGTTTAATAGGTAGAATATAATTGAATAATAATAAAATAGAAAATATTATTTTTACATGTTTGATAGGCAATATAGAATATGATTTTTAATACCATTTGATATTTCAAAAAAAAAAAAATTGTTTTTTTGTTGTAAAAAAAAAATATATTCCTTGTCTAATCCAATACCCTCACTAAATAATTCCAATTACTATTGTATCTCTTTCCTATTTTCTTCCTTTCATTTCTTCTACTATATTTTGGACTTTGTTAAAATAAAATCTTCTTCAATATTTTTTTACACTATTCAGCATTCGAGCCTACTGATTCAATTAATTCAAATCTACATAAATAAAATGAAATAAATTCTTTCTCTCTTAATTAGAAGTCTCGAGTTTAAGTTCGAGGTAAAAAGTATTTTTAAATATTCAATAACCAGTCGTTTTGCTTTTCTTCTTATTTTCTTTACTTCCTTTCATTTCTTCTACTATTAAACAATGGAATGAAGTATTCACATTAATTTTTATGGAATCAACATGTCCTACTTAATAATTTGGCAGGTCATTGGACAAATATTAATTTAGCCAAGCACATTTTTTGTTGATTTCATCAGCAATTGACTTAATGACTCTCATTTAGTATATTTTTATTATATAAATGAAGAACATTGACAATTAATATATATTTTAGTTATTGAAACTCAACTCAATGGACTTTGGATTACAACAGCTGCAATCCACTTCATGCATTTTATTTGCTTGTAATTAGAATCATAATCATTTCTTAAAATTCTTCTTATTTCATTCAAATTAATAAAATTATTTTGATTATGATGGTCATATATGAAATAATTGTAAGTGGATAGAAATGAAAATTGGGTATAAAAGTCAATTTAAGAGAAATTGGGCATACCTACTTATTGTCTGATACAGGTTTCAAGTCAAATTACAAGTTGTTTCACATCAAGTGTATATAAATTTTTTAATCCTCAATTAATTAAATTAAATTACTTTTTGGTCTTCTTATAAAGATGATTATTAGAGTTTGGAACAGCTACTGCTTAAAACAATCTTAGTTGATTAACTTTGAGGAAATTAACTTGATTGGTCTGTTGATGATGTTGTGAATTTTCGAGTGAAGGTATAGATTAGACAAAATCATGATAATTTTTATAATACTTTGAGAAAATTCGTATTTTCATTAAATTAAATTACAGGTAAATTTACTTACGTTTGAAGTGAGAAAAAAGAAAAAAGGCCCAAATCTAACTTGATAAAAATAAAATCAAACGGGCCCACAAAGTCTTCTGCAACTGAAATACAATGGGCTCTAATTTTGGGCTGGTTTCAAACTGTCAACATAATTATAATAATTAGTAGACCATTTAATAAATTAGTACTAATCATTTAATTATAATAGAATTTAATAGAAAGATAAAACTAAGTAGAAATTATAATTTCACCATATCGACTGTATTTTCTTAATAAGTGTAGAAGTCAAATTAGGACAAGAATTATGTGACCGAAAAAGTATGCAATTTTTTTTTTTTTTTTTTAAATTTGAAGATTCAATATTAAAACAAAAATTTTGTTGAATTTGTTGGAAAATGAATCTCACATTGACTAATAATAAAATAATTAATGATCATTTGGTAGACTTAATACAAATCAATTTGGTAATTTTTAATTATTAATTGACTTTGAAAACTTATTAGTTTTCACTTGAATTGTCAATAGGAACATTAAGCATAAAAAAAAAATATTTAAGAAATCAATCGAAAAATATTCAATTTCCAAGACGGAGTGGCGGGGGACGAAATATATATCGGATTGGATTTATATTGATTTTTTTTTTTTTTTGGGGATAAAAAATTCAGAATTCTTGTTGGAAATGGGTTGAGATTGCAGTCCCGTGCTTACCGACAGTTACGAGCTTAACAATCAGTGCATCTATACATGTAGGTTGAAAATAAACTCTGGTTTAAATTTAATTATGGAAAAGAAATATAAAAATAAAAAAATATCAGTTACTTGTACACTACATGCACCAGGAAGAAGTAACTTTTTTTTTTTTAAAATAAATTAAGATTTCATTAAAAAACTTCAAATCAATATAAATATTACAAGGACATAACCCCTCTCTTAAGACTAGACATAAAACAAAAAAAAAATTATAAAATAATTATTATTCGCTGATTTAATAAGAAATCTTTATAGAAAATAGAAGGAGAACTTGAAAAAAATGAATAGATCTTTAAGTGGTTGATTAGATGTATTCTCCAAATCTTCTATACATAACGTAATTATCCATGAATTAGTTGTTTATGACGAACACAGAGGATTTGAACCACTAAATTTAATGGAGGAACATACCGCACTTACTAGGCTCCAAAAGACGAAGATAATCATATAGTTGAAAAATTCTTTACAAATTGCAACATATTCAAATAAATCAAACAAATGCAAACAACAAAACAAAACTCGACATAAAATAGAGAGATCATATGCTCCACACAAGATGGAAATAAAACACAAGCAGTAACAGAAACATAAATAACATGAATCCATCCACAGAATAAACATAGATCTGTAATTTATTTAATAAAAAATATAAAAATTTGCAACAAAATTAAAAATATACTAAAAATATGAGGGGCTGTCATAAGAGACAAAAATTAGCTACTCCCCATATCTACATGTTTGATTTTGTGTTTCAATAGAGAGAATGGAAAAAAAATTTAATGGAAAAAAAAAGTCAATAGGGATTACTTGGATTAAAGAAAAATTACAATTGATATTTTAGTTAGTAAATACAATTCAACAAATGCAACTTGAATTTGTTGAAGGTTTACTCTTTCTTCCAGATGTTTTATATTATTTTTAATCAAGAGAGGAAAAAAGAAAAAAAAAATCAACAAAGACTATTCTCCTAATTAGACAACAGCTAGTTGTGTTTTTATTTATTGATTAATAATAAAACGTTACATTAATTATTAATGAAAAGACACAAGAAACCACTTGAAACCCAAGAAATTTCTTGTCTACCCGGTGGATACAAAGGATGTAGTTAAGTCTTCCCGGCTGAAAGCTAAAACATAGCAACATATAATTAATATAGTATCATAATTCAGAAATCATGTAATTCGAGTTAAATGATATAGAACTACATTTCCCAAACCGCCTGATTCACATTCACCACCCTACAATTCGAACGAACTTCACCTTCATTTCCGGTCAATGGTTTAATATTCCCCATTCTAATCATAGACTTGATAAAATCAGCCCTGAAAGCTTCTGGATTTGAACTGTAAGTACTTACAAGCGCATCAGTGGAGCCACCATTAAAAAGCTGTTGATCAGAATGGAGAAGTCCTTTCAAATTTGTCAAGCTGTTGAAATAAGCGACATCAAAACTAGCTGGTGTTGGGTCAAACGGTGCAAGATTTGTGTTGTTTCCAGTTCTTGGACAAGTTAATCTTCGTTCTTGTGCAAATTCTGGGTCGATGTTAGTTTCATTGTAGATTCTATCCCTGAAAGCGCCGCATTGTGAAAAACCTATTGTATGGCCACCAGATAATGCAACTAGGTCTGTCTCGTTTAGTCCTTGTTTCTTGAAGGCATCAATAAGTGCAGGAAGGTCTAAAAATGGTCCTGGAAGGTCTGTTTCAGCTTTCGTTTTGTTAGCTGTGGTAGAGTCTTTCCTCCCTAATGGCACTTTCCATGTTGGTCCTCCTAGCTGCATTTTTTTTTTAAATTTTTTTTGTCATAAACATAGATATTTTACTAATGGAGTAACAATTTAGACTCCCAGTGCATGCAAATAGCAGATTTCCATGTCAAAATTGTAAAACAAACAATTTTTTCTTTGCATCAATTCAAGGAAATCATAGGGTATGTATATATATTAAAATAATACAATCGAACAAAATTTATTTGCTAAACTTTAATATTCAACTTTTGATAAAGATAAAAGTATTTCTCAGGTTCTTGCATGATCTCAAAATATATTAAATATATTATATAATATATATATATATAGGAATAATCGAAGGTACTAATATTTATATTATGTAATTGCACAACCGTCAAACATTTTTTTATATACTTGTCAATGCATTTAGGTAGTGGAGAACAATGACATTAATCATTTCAAACGAAGAAACAAAAAAAGACATTAATGAACTAATGGACAAATCAACAAAACTGTAGCGTGGAGAGCACATAATTCCACTCTCTATGTCAGCAGATTTTGCTTTAAGGTCTTTAATTTGGTTTGAATTAATCTACGGATTAAGTATAATTTTCTAGATATATACAAGAGGATTAGCTACAGTGGTTTTTTTTTCTTGCCTCATGAAATTCTACTTCCAAGCGTTTTTCCTCGTTCTTGGTTTATATTGTATTGTTTTGTTTAGATTTCAGTCATAATCTCTTTGGAATATTGCAGTTCAAGTGATATATTTGAACATGTTTTTTCGCTTAGTATAACTGAGTTAATTTTAGGTATACGTGGGAGCTTATTCGCATAGCTTTAACTCTTGGTTATATTAAAATTTTCCTGAATAATGTTAATAAAATTAAAATATTTATTTCCCAATATATAAGCGAGAGCGCTGACGCTCTCATCTCTCTCACGTATACCCGTGGGAGCTTATTCGCTAATAGTAAACACCTCTTGTTATATTAACACTCTCTCTCCTGAACTCACCGTCTGAGCGCTGCGGAGAATGAAAATATTCCACTCTCCCAAATATATCTAACCACTCTCACTCACATATACCTATATATATTACTTAGTATATAACTAAAAGAGAAATATACAGAGGAATTAATAGGCTACCACAACAACAGAATCGCGAGACATGCAACAGTTAAATGATGTCTGCGCAGGAACCACACGAGCCTCCACATCTTCATCCACCCTCTGAACTTAATCTGGTCAATAACTTCAAATCCTCTATGGAATTTTTAGGAGAGCTTCTTTTTCAAGCTTATCACCTGGTAGGAGAAGGAGAAGGATCTAAAAAAAAGCTGTGCAATCACAAACTGAATATATGTAAAAATAAAAAAAAAAAAAAAAAAAAAAAAAAAAAAAAAGACAAATAAAAATTAAAATAAGAGAAATAAATATGAATCAAGAGATTGTACATCAAATTCAACACACTAAACATAAATGCTTTCGGCTCACATTAAATATGTTATCTGACGTGATTATTATCATACTGAAAAAAAAAACAAGAATATGTTTTGGATTAATATTTAATCTGCTGTTTAAAAATATTATTTTGATAATATTATTGAAAGAATATATTAAAATTTATTTTTAACCTAAATTTTTATATTTTCTAATAATATATACACAAAGACTTACATTAACAAAACAGTCATGGAAGTGAAGACGCAATAAAGAAGCACCCATTCTTTGTTCTTGGCTAACAGCAGCCTCAACAACACGTTTAATAGTTGGTAAAGCGTCAGGACACACTATGTCATAGAAATGAGGACATAGTTGAGCAGAAGCTGTTGCAGAAGCAACAAGAACCAACAGAAGACATAAGCTCATACGTGAAGCCATTTTGACTTCTCTTTTTAGAAAAAGAAAAGGTTTTCTTGATGTAATGAAAGTGAAGGAGAACTACAAGAAGGCTAGTCTTTGTGTGCTTATTGGCTTTGGTGATAGGGGCATTTATAACATAACACAACCTTGACAATTGGGCTGTGTCCACATGTACTGGATAAGGGAAAATGTTTTTACTTTTAAAAATTTTTGTTTGGTCTCTGTATGTTGTAATATAATATATATGCCTTATTTCTTAGAAATCAGCTTAGTTTCTCCACAATTCAAGATAAACGTGTATGCGATTTATTTATGATTGTTGTTTATCCCTAACCAATAAGGAGAAGATTTAATCCTATGTCATTAATAATTGAATGGTTTTTGTTGGTTATATTTTAACCTTATAATTCTGATATGATAATGAATTACAATAATAATAATAATAATAATAATAATAAGTACAGTCTTTGTAATTATTCTATCTCACATCGGTTTGGGACAAGGTATTTATTTAAAATATAAGACTTGAATAATTTTCTTCTTCTTACTAAACTTTTGAGATGGAGTTAGGTCTATACATTTTATTAACGCAATATCAGAATCCTAATTCAATAATGAGACTTGTGTAGATGTACATGCTTACAAATTTCATGCTCATCTTGGTGTGAGTTCAATATTAGGCCACCTGCAATTGTATATGCCTAGTCCATTTTATTTTTTAGAGCAAATCAAGAAGCTTGCATTAATACTCATAAAATGGTAACAAACACTATAGAACCGATGTCTACTTTTGAAGACGAGCATGTTAATAAAAAAACCTAAAGACGAGAATGCTAATGATTTATAAATTTTTTGATCATTGATAGGCAAAAGCGCGTAATAATATTATAGACTACACAATATACACCAAATTGACTGAAACTTTGAGACCTCCTCATGCATCATGTTAATAAGAAAACCATTATAATGACTTGTAATTAATAGAAGAATCTTAATAAAAAATATATTCCATTTTTCTACAATGCACAATATTTGGGTAGATGAGACAGTCGGCATATGATCTAGAAGTAACAATTTTCCTTGATACTCTTAACAATTTTCCTTGTTAGAGTATCCTTCTCATCAAATTACGCAACATCCAAAAAGTCAACTAAAATTATAAATTAATAAAGATGAAATATTCATTATTTTAACCAAAAAATAAATAGTCATTGTAATCCCAAATATATAGTTGACCTTCCTGCTATCCAAACGAACTAGCAATATACCCGTGCATACTATACACGGTTAAGAAAAATAAAGAAGAAAAATTAAAAGAATATATATATATATATGAATAAATTGCTTTTATTATGCTATTAAAAAATATTATTAAGATAGATCAATAATAAACAAAAATATAGTCATGATTTTTAATTATTAGAGTAAAAATTAGTAGATAAACATATGTTCAGAAATATAGATTAAAAATATTGAAATCTATGTAGATAAATAAAAAAAAATGTAAAATAAAAGGTGATAAAATTCATTAATTTGATATATTTTAGAATTAATGTAAAAAATAACTAACTTGCTATAAAATTCATGAAATAAATAATTTATTTTATGACTAAAAGTTGTGTAAATCATCAATTCATCATGTTATTAATTCTCTAAAACTATAATTAATCAATTATATTTAACATAATTTTTAATTTTTAATATAAAATAATAACTGCACATATCATTAACTTCATAACTTATGTGTCTTTAAAATTTATATAAATTGTTACTTAATATATTATTAATTTTCTAACGTTATATTAATCAATTACATTTAAGACGGTTTAATTCTCGACTTAATATATTATCTCACATCTCTCTCTCTCACACGTTATACATTACACTCACTCACCACTCTCTCACAGAACGGTTTTAATTCAAATTAATAACTAATCCTTCTAAGTTATTTATTTTTAAATAAATATAGAAAATAACAATTAACACATCTCACACTCTCACTTAAGATTGGAATTATCCTATGTCGCGCGCACACACCAAGGAAAATCTGCATATTACTCATATACTCACACTCACTATAATATCATATATATAACCTATATTAAGGAGGGAATACCGATACCTTAAAGGCCATTAATAGCATTAAGATAAGCCCCAAATCACACTCACACTAAAAACCAGTTAAAAATTCAAGAGATGACATCCACACCACGAACCTCACAATACACCTCACTCCTCCTCTCACATAATCAGAATGCAGAATGCGAAGTCACAATACTAATTTAAAATTAAAATCCAAACCACCAACCAATACATTAATGACATTGATAACTCTCACCACTCAAAACCAAATCAAAAACACTAATTCAAATAAATTCAAACCAAACAATCAAACTAATATATTAAATAGCATGTAATCACACACTCACACTCCACCATCATTAAATAACATTAAAGACCTATGAAACAATCTTGGTATTGTGGAGAGTGAGGAACTTTTTCCACAGCAATACAGTTAATAACCAAACTCACATACATTAATGATAATTAAAATCACCACTCAATCATATGCCAACGGCAATCAACTTCGCGACGCAACACTCTCTCACTCACCCTCACTCACATCCTCTCCACCACCACCTACAACCTCACCTATTGCCACATGAATCAACCTCACTTCACCACACACCACACACTCTCTCATCTATATATGATAATGGTATACACTACTCCTACTCTAATACTCACACTCATATATCACACTCACACCTACACTCCATAATTCATATACTCCTAAAAGCTTACAGGCGACCATTGGTATATATATCTCAAAGCTTAGGCGATGGATCCATGGTGGTACAAGATTTTTATTGAAAGTGAATAATGAATGTTTCTCTAAAAGATTTTTTTATTTTAGCATTTTTGGAGAAAAATAATTTCTTACATACAGAAAAAATTAAATATCTTTAAGTATTTTCTAATAGATAAACAAAATGATAGAAGAAAAGGAAAAACATTAAAAGAAAAGAGAACCCTTGCAAAATTATAAAGTTAACGTAAATTATAAATAAAAAATACTATAAAAATAATCATAATGGAAATAGCCCCTTGAAGAACTAGAAACGTGGAGAAATTGAGAAGTTTTTATAGTAAAATTTTAAAAAATCAGGTATTGTTTGGTGCGACCAATCAATCGTGTTCTAATTAATATTTTTCACTACCGCGGAGTACAAGATTTTAATTTTGAAACCCTTCAACTGTTCGCGAACTAGGTGAACCTTAAAGGGCCATTGCACTCGAAGGAAAAAAATTTCTTTTATGAAAAATTGCACTTTAATCCCAAAAATATAATTTAATATAATAAATTATATTTTAATTTCCACCCTCAAAATTTTAAAAAATATATTTATTTTATAATCTTAAAGAATTTTTACTAGTTCAACTTGCTCTCAATTACAAGAGTTATAAATCAAGAGAAATGCTAACCCAGTTATATAACTTCGCAATATTATTTTACCCTATTAATCATTACAATGAATAAAATAAATAAATTTTAAGATTGCAAATTACTAATTGGATTGGTACTTATTATTATTATTATTATTATTATTTTATTATTATTATTTTATTTTATTTTATTATTTTAATTATTATTATTATTATTATTATTTATTTATTGTAATTAATATTATTATTATTATTATATATTTATTTATTGTAATTAATTAAAAAAAATCCCATTTGATCCATTTAGCAGCTTCTTAGAGGGGGGAAAAATCAACAAAGACTATTCTCCCGATTAAACAAGGTGTAGTTGCACACATTATTGATTAACAAAAGATTACATATTGTTTTTTGAGAATAAAATATTACATAAATTAATTATTAATGAAAAGACACAAGAAGGAACTTGAAAACTAAACATAACAACAGACAATTAATACCGTATGTCTGTATCAGGAATCATACAGTTGGAATTAACAGATAAAACTACATTTCCCATACTGCCTTATTCACCACCCTACAATTCAAACGAACTTCACCTTGACTTCCAGTCGGTGGTTTAATATTCCCCATTCTAATCATAGACTTAGCAAAATCAGCCCTAAAAGCTTCGGCATTTGAACTGTAAGTCTTTACAAGCGCATCAGTAGACCCGCCATTAAATAGCTGTTGATCAGAATGAAGAAGTCCTTTTAACTTTGTCAAGCTGGTGAAATAAGCCATGTCAAAACGAGCAGGAGTTGGATCAAATGGTGCAAGATTTGTGTCATTTCCAACTCTTGGACAAGTTAATCTTCGTTCTTGTGCAAATTCTGGGTCGATGTTAGTTTCATTGTAGATTCTTTCCCTGAAAGCGCCGCACTTTGAAAAACCTAACGTATGGCCTCCAGATAACACAACTAGGTCTTTCTGGTTTAGTCCTTGCTTCTTGAAGCCGTCAATGAGCCCAGGAAGGTCTAAAAATGGTCCTGGAAGGTCTGTTTCAGCTTTCGTTCTGTTAGCTGTGGTCGAGTCTTTCCTCCCTAATGGCACCTTCCATGTTGGTCCTTTTAGCTGCAATTTTTTTTTGGTCATTAACACAAATATAGTATTAATGGAGGAAACAATTTAAACTCCCAAAGCATATACATAACTGATTTTTATTTCAAATTGCAAAACAAACAATTTTTTCTTTGCATCCAATTGTGGAATTCATCGTGGTATATACATATATAATTATAGAAATAATTATATAGAAATAAGGATGATATAGTACATGAAACATTTTATATTTGCGAGATCTAGAGAGAGTTAACGTGCACTGTCTTTCCTATTATGTATATATAATTATATATATTAAAAAGAATTGCATTGAATAAAATTTATTCGCTCAACTTCAATATTCAACTTTTTCATAAAGATAAAGTATTATACAGGTTCTTTCATGATCTCAAAAAATATTAAATATAGTATGTTATATCATATTATGCATGTTTATTTTAAATATATGAATATAGAAACAGTCAAAGATAAAATTTAAATAAGCAAATCGCACAACTGTACAATATTTTTATACACTTGTCAATGCATTTAGGTAGCAGAGAACAATGACATTGATGAACTAATGGACAAATCAGCAAAACTGTAGCATGTAGAGCAAATAATGATAGATCCATCGATCTAGTGCAAATAATTCCACCCTTTTATTAGAATTTCTCATGAAGCTATTAATGTTTTAACTGATCGGTAGTTATTTAGTTTCTCAGTATCCGTCGATGCCTTTCATGTTTATTATGTAAGAAATATGGAAGAAAAATTATAAGATATACCGCTACAACAGAATCGCGAGCTGCAACAGCTAAGATGTCTGCGCAGGAGACCACTGAGCCTCCACATGCTTTATCCACCTCTGACTTGATCCGGTCAATAACTTCAAATCCTCTAATGGAATTTTTGTTAGGGAGAGCTTCTTTTTCACTGTCAATGGTGGGAGAAGGATCTAAAAGAACTGATGCATCACAACCCTGAAATAAAAAAATTATTAGAAATTGATATTTGTTTGAGAGATTTGTATATTAATTCAACAAACTCAGTTTGTACACAGACTTACATTAACAAAACAGTCATGGAAGTGAAGGCGCAATAAAGAAGCACCCATTCTTTTTTCTTTGCGCACAGCAGCCTCAACAACTCGTTTAATAGTTGGTAAAGCTTCAGGACACAGTTTATCATAGTAATGAGGACATAATAGAGAAGAAGCTCTTGTTGTAGCAGCAGCAAGAACCAACAAAAGACATAAGCTCATACGTGAAGCCATTTTGACTTCTCTTTGTTTTTTTTCTGAAGTAGCGAATGTGAAAAGAAGGATAATTTTTGCGTGCTTATTGGCTTTGGCGATATACGTATTTATAGCACCATAGGCAATAAAAACTTTAAGTGTTGGACTGTGTCCATATGCACTGGACAAGGGAAATGTTTTACCTAACAAATTTTTGTTTATTCTTCGCATGTTGCAATATAATATATATGACTTATTTCTTAGAGACTTCTCGTGTATTTGTTTCTTAAAGTCCTATTGAGGCTGGATTTAAATTATATTTTATCGTATAGCTCACGGCGTGATTTGGGCCTATTAACCTTTCCAAAGATAAAAATAAGGAAAAAAAAATTAGATTTGAAGTTCATGTTTCTATCTAATAAAAGAAACATATTTTGGTGCTAACAAGCTTTTCGACAGGTTAATTAGAATTCATGATATTCATACAATATCTTATATCTGTCGTTGTTTAGTTTAGTTTTCTGTTGAGTTTCTTAATGTAGTTTAGCAAAGAAAAAACTTAAAATGTTTCTTTTTTAATTAATTTAACCTTATAATTTTGAAGTATTTATTTTAATAATGTATATAGACCTAAATGGTGATAAATTTTGTTTAAATGTTATGTATTTCATGCTATATTATAATTATGAATTAATAGTTTAATAAAAGTGAAATTATAAAAAATAAATGATTAAATATAATTATTACATTGTAAGTATAACATCTGAAATATATTTTTAGAAAAAATTTATAATATTTAATTAATAGGACAATAAATTAATGGTACTATCTCTCTCTTTTTTTTTTTTTTTTTTTTTAAAATTTAATTAATAGGACAATAAATAATGGTACTATCTCTCTCTTTTTTTTTTTTTTTTTTTGGAAAAAGTTTTTTTTTTTTTTTTTTTTGGAAAAGTAGAATAAATATAATTTTTATTATTAATGTTCAAGAAAAATTTAATATACTCAAGCACTAAGCCTTGAATCAATGGGTTCTTTGCATATACCCATATCTACCCCAGAAACCAAAAATATTTGGTCAAAATATAAACACCTAACGACAGAATAGTACTCCAAACCAGAAGCAACAAAAAATAAAAAACACACAACTAAAGCAGAACAAAGAAAAACAAAGGACAAAAACCAATTTCTTGATGTAAGAAATAAGACAAGACTATGTAGTATCTTAGAAAAAAAAAAATTCCATTTTCATATAAAAAAATGTAGTGGCATCATTATTTATATATGGGAAGATGAGAGAGTCGGGGTGCGAAAAAACAATTTCCTTCTTAGAAAATGTGTCTCACATGAGAAATCACGCAACATCCGGGAAGTCTACCGACATTATAAATTAGCAAGAAATAGTCATCATGTTAAGCTCTAGTTATTAGTTTTTTTTTTTTTTTTTTTTTAAAGGAGCTCTAGCTATTAGTTACTTCCATAATAATAATAACAATAATAAGCATATTCCATTATTCCAATATATTCGCAATAGTATATTCATTCACGATTAATTAAAAGGGTAAGCTGACCTTGCTGAATTTATAAAAAAATTAAAAATATGTTATTATTTCAGGATGGGGTTGTTCATCTCTTATCTATGAAGACTTTATCTTTTAAGTTCACATTGTTTTCTTTTATTAATATAGTCTGGTTGTGCGGTATGTTTCATTATTAATATTTGGTATATTAAATTCTTTTGGTATGTCAAGTGTAACAAATTTTCAAAAGAACAAAATTTGTAGAATGTGTTTTTTGTCCTCTTATTTGGAAAATGATCAGTTTTTATACGGAAAATTAATTTATATCGCCAAGATCATCTCCGAACATAAGCTTTTGATTTTCTATATTTGTATTTTTTGTTTCTCCCGAAATATTATGATGTACTCATAACTAAAAAAATCCACAATAGATAAATTTAAAATTTTCTTTAAAGTGAAAAATCACATAAGGAATTTAAGTATTTTTCCATGGTTACTTTATATTTAATCCTTTCATTATTTTAGTTGTTTAATAAATTAATTCCTTCTAGTAAAAAAAAAATTGTTACTGCAATTATCTGTATCACAAGCTTTCTAGTTACATTTGAAACTTTCATTTTTAAGGTTTTCAACTTTTTAAGTTTTATCTATTGAATCAATGTTGTCCAATTTGTTATTTAACCAACAATCTTCCCACTTTGTAAACATTGAAAACCTTTAATCATGAAAATAAAAAAAGTTATATAGGAAACCTATTAACAGTAATTTATTTTAAGAAGATAATAAAAGAATTACACTACTTTCAAAAAACACAGATTAGCTATATACTTTTTCTTTAATCATATTTGATCATGGTTGAATAATATTGCCAATACAATTACTCAACTTGGCATTAATTCGGAATTAGTACTAATATTAATGTGTTGCAATTGGAAATTACTTGTCTAGACCGAATCTATAACCACGCTTATACACCAAACTAATGATTGTAAGAATTCTTTAAAAAAATGTTATTCTCTCCATTTTATTTATACAGAGAGAGTCAAAATTTCTCTAGGATTAAATAAATGATTTTTTTTGGATTTCTTCCTAATTTGCCCTTGAAAAGATATTAAATCGTATCTAATTTTCAATAAAATGTGATAAATGATGAGAGAGATTATTTGTTGCTTAAACAAGGCATTTTATTTGTTTAAACTTCCAATAATAAAAAAACGTAGGCTCTTTAATTGCAATTGCGCATTAAAATTACAATATCAAATTTGAATTGAAAAAATTGGCGTGAAAGTTAAAAGAATGTTTGGAGCAAAAATTTTCAACCTCAAATTCTTTATTTTGCTTCTCCAAATTTACGCGGAAAAAAATAAAATTTGGAGTCAAAATTTTCAAAGCTAAATTCATTTAAATAAGGATGAGTTCACAACTCTAAAATTTAATCCACAAATGCCATGAACACAGTTCTTTCTTTTGATTTGAATACAATCCTTTAAATTTTGCTTACAACTTCAAAAGATGTGTCCATACTCAACAATCAACCTTAGACTTGATATTCGTGCCATCCACTGAACAACCGCCTTCTGTAGAATCTGAAGTCCATACTCAACAATCAACCTTAGACTTGATATTCGTGCCATCCACTGAACAACCGCCTTCTGTAGAATCTGAAACCACACCACCATCAAGTAATATTCTAGAAGAGGCTCGAAAAGGCAATAAAAGGAAAAACATTGCTGAAGATATGAAAAATACAACGTATTTTACTGTGTTCTGTAATTGAAAAGGGTGAGTCAACTCACAGTATTCATAAAGTTGCAGACAATTTATCCATATCTACTAAGACAATTTACAAAATTTGGTATAATGCAAAAAATAAGTACAACTATTTTTATTAGGCAATGAAATTAGGGTTTAGGTTCTACATCTCTCTCTTTAGCCCTCATCAAAGTAAATATAAATGAGCGCAACTATTTTTATTTAAACACTATCGTTTGGAGGAAAATTTTCTTCCGTTCAGGATTTATTAGAGTCGTGAGTAAATTTTACTATATGTGCACACTTAAATGTTTAACATAAGCTTCTTGGTGAAATTTAATCTATGCGCATAATGTGCTTGAATCTCACATTTCCATAATGCACGGTTCAGTCAATTTTTGAATATTAAATGCCAACCACAATAAAATCTGCCACTTTCTTGAAATACTCCCAAAATCAATGTTTAATTTATAAACCAAAGCAATGACATATTGGACTTTTTGCTTTGGCGTTACTCCCAAAGTTACTATATTAGAAAAATTTCTCTATATAAATAGAACGCCTAAAAAGAAAATTTTCTCTATATAAACAAAATGGAGAGCATAACTTTATCTTTTTTTTCCCAGTGTATAGTCAGAAATACCATCGTTTCAATAAAAAACTTTATTCTCATTAGTTTGTTCTATGAGTGAGGCCATGTGTCACGACCCATTTCCATGGACCAGACCGGCACTAGGACCTGGGTGGGCTTAAGGCCCCCGAAGCCCGTAGTAAGCCTGTATTACTTAAACTCGCATTCTTAGTAAGCCTGTATTACTTAAACTCGCATTCTATTCACAATTGTGGATTCAGGCCCAATAACTTATTTCACAATATATATCTAAAGTACAATCCATATAATAAATATCTGTACTCTATTTGTTCATTTACAATCCAATTGGAATACAATTGCGGAACTCTACTCCATAATTCACTATCCTATGCATTTACATATTCGATACAATGATTATTACTCTTATCGATCCGTATCTCGTTCATTCGATTGGACTCCAGGATTCTTCTTTCCATCTATTACCTGGGGAGGTTGGGGGGGGGGGTCTATTACCTGGGGAGGATTGGAGGGAGGGGGTGAGTACTAGACTCAGTGAGTAGGGTTAGATAACCCTCTCATCCCACACAATCACACAGATGCTAAAATATTTTTATTTGGTAACCAATTAATTTTATGATCATGCAGTTTGTCACACAAAAGACAATACAACAGCAATCACAATTATCATCACCTTCATGTAATCATATCACGTGGAAATTAGTCAGTGGAGTTACCGAAACCCAATGAGCCGTCCTCCCACATGACCCATCCACTCACATGTGCACCAGGGAGCCAATCCCCCATTCTGGCTGGCCAGTATAATCCTCACACGATCGGTCCTCTCATTATTTTGCTAATCTCTCTTCTTTTATATATAATTATATACTATATATATATATATATATAATATATATTAATATATATATACACAACCAACAGGAGACAACCCGGTTCGTCTCCATCCCAATCTAGATCTTTCAGGGCGGCTCAAAACAGGAGGCCAACCCTGTGAGCTGCCGGCCGATCAGATCTAAACTTCAAGGTGCGCCAAATAAGAGCCAAACATGTGGTTTCAGAATAGACCAGAATTAACAAGGGTGCACATGGGGGCGCCGATCTCCCTCATTTACCCCCCGGCTAACAGAAATCAGAATCAGGATTCCATATAGCAAGTAACAGAATCAGGATCCATATAACAGTAACAGTCTCACAAACCCATGGTTACCCACTTCGTTCCAATTCCACACAAACAAGGCACAACAATATCACATCACAGATAATCAAGCAATCCTTAATCAAACAATAATGCAGCACAATATGGCAATTTAACAAATTAATGCATGATAACATTTCACCGTGAATGCATGAATGCAAGCAGATGATACTAGTTATCTAACACTACTCACAGTTTTTTATTGTCCTTTAAAGGACTATCTTTATTATTGCGCACGCTTCCAGCATTTGTCTCCACCTTTCGGAACTTACAAACATCTAACATAATAAGAAAATTCTACATTAGAGGTCTAATTCAAGAAACGTACTTTTACTTTAATTATTAGTTTTGGTTACAATTTGCTTTACTCACATATCAAACTAAATTGTATATTTCTCTATATATATAGTTTCCCTATTTATTTATTTATTCGAATTTATAGCCTTTAGATAAAATTTCTAATTATAATAATAATAATAATGATATTCCTAATGATAATAATAATAATAATAATACCTAAAGTTTTAATCCGTTACTACTTATTAAGAATATAACTAATTTAATTCTTCACTAAGTGTTTTATTAAAATTCGGCAGCATTTCCTCTATAAACTGGACTATCCAAATTTTTACATAAACCATATGTCAACACACAGCCCATCCATCGGGCAATTCACATCAATTCACATTAACTGATCTCGTTTTCCATAACCATCATTCATTCTTTCATTCAATTCACACAGTCTATTATCTCGTTTTCCATAACCATCATTCATTCTTTCATTCAATTCACACAGTCTATTATAATTAATTGTTCTATAACTATTTATTTGTTAATAAAATTCCTAAAATTTATTATTAGCTAGGAATTTATATTTCAGTACAGTTATAATTAATATTCATTGAAATATATTTAACAATATCTAATTTAATTCATTTAAATACTTAATTAATTTCATTAATTAATTAATTCGGGATTTATTTAAAAATTGAAAAATTAAGCTTTAGAGTGTACCGATTGAAAATCAGATTTCATTTCCATGACCCGCACGAAGAGGAGGGCATTCTGCCTCTTGGAGCTTCGCCGGAGTATCGCCGGCCGGTCGCCGGACCGCCGGCGTCGCCGCCGTGCACGGTGGACGTAAACTCAATCTTGCCCAGAAATTTATCGCGAATATACCTTTCAACTCGATTTTTTGTCAGGAGCCCGATTTTGGCTTCAGTTGTGCGAGATCTGCACTCCAGTCGGTCAAACTGGGCTTGGCAGTGGTCTAGTGCCATTATCGTCATCTCCGTCGATTCCAACGCCGACCACTGCATCTCACCTACGTTCGGTGCTCACCATCGATGAAGGATGAGACTGGAGCCGTTCGACGATGACGAGATCGCCGGAGAGACAGTTGAGGTGTCGCTGCGCCGCTCGCCAAAGGGGAATCGCAACTCGTCTAATTGCTGCATTTTCCAGAACGGAGAGGCGATGTGACGAGACCGGACTTGCAGCGGCGAGGAGACAACGGCGAGAAGCTCAGATGGTTGGATCGGGAAGGGAGGAGGAGGAGGAGGAGGAGCGGCGCTGCTCCTTGCATGCGCGAAGAAGAAGAGAAGAAGAGGGAAAAAGAAGAGAGAGAGGCGATTCTAGAGGGTTCTGGGCCATTTCGGTTCGATTCGAACCGGTTTGGTCTAAATCAGCAATTTGGTCCGATTTTTTGCTTGATTTACGGGGTTTTAACCTGGTCTACAGATCCGGTTTGGTTTATATACATTTATTCAATTTACTTAATATTTAATATTAATAATCATAATATTAGATGTCTAAGATAATTAATTCACGTGGTAACCACACTCACATTACATATTTAAAATACATTAATAGTTAAGGCTCCATATTATTTTTTAAAAATTTCTAAAGGTCCTCAACCTGATAATTCCGATAATGTGTTTTGGGTTTGAGCCCAACTTGCAATTTAGGCCCAGATTGTAATCGCTCGGTACTTATAGCCCATATCGTCATAAATTCAGATTTTTGATTTAGTAAAAATTCAAAAGTTTTGAAAATAAAAATTCAGTGTATTACACCATGTACCCGGTCTAGATAAAATTTTTCCATTGATGTTACCGTTCAACAAATGCTTAATTAGTCAAACCTTTTGTTGATTTCATGGATAACGGGATCAAATCGTTCTTTATTAATCATAGCTTAACTAGTTGATGTTACAGTTTAACCAATGATTAATTAATTAAGTAGTTGGAACTTTAATTTGTGTCGATTTCATCTATAATGGATTAAATCACTCTTCATTAAAAAATTTCACATATGTATATAAATGAAGAATCATTGAGGATCTATATCTATAAATAAATATAACTTGCGCACTATTAATTTTATAAAACTTCATGTATTTTAATATTTCAATGGAAAAAGGTACTTGTCGGATTGAACATTATGGCTAAAGTCATAAGTTCGATCCTCCGCAGTATAAACACCACTAAGTTAGCCCCATTGCTTCCGAGAACGAGCATGGATTAGTCAGGCTTGAGGACCGTTAAAACGGGCATAATCTTGAATATACCTCGTACAAGTATTAAAAAAATGATAAAAATAATAACCACCCATTATCAATTGATTAATAGGGTATGTATTAAGCGCTTTTCTTTGCTTAATGATTTACTGAAATTTGGAAAAATAGCTATCTTTTCAAAGTGATAATTTTTTTTCCTTTAAAAATTAAAATACGTTTACTTGTTTTATAAGGAAATATTTATTTCTCATTGATCAATTCTCGGAAGTATTTCGAACACAAAAAAAGAAAGAAAGAAAGAAAAACGCTCTTCATTATTCTTTTTTTTTTTTCTCTAAATTATCTTTAATCAATATGTTATTTTGAAAAATGGTTCTAATTCTACATATTATAAGATATATAAAAACAATTTAACTCCGAGAAACAAAAAATAGATGTCTTATCATTGAAATTATATATACCAATATTTTAAATATAGCTGAATGCATAAATGGTTGTGTACTTATATTATTGCAAAATTGTACTTATATTAAATTTCTAATCTTAAAATTTGTGTACTTATATGATTTTATGCTTTCATTATATTGTCACATGTAACATTTTAAGAGGGAGAAAATTTCACTGAAACAAGAAACGGAGAGATAATTGCCATTAAGGGTACCGTTTTCCATTAATGGATGGAGAGATGTCTAGAACCATTCTCTTGCAAAGTGAGATACAGCAACTTTAACGATTTCAATGTATTTATTTATTTATTTAGCACGTATATTTGCTGAAATAGAGATCTGGATTAGCATGTATAGTTGCTGAAATAGAGATTTGGACAGATGAAGGAGAGGGGGATAGCGGCTTTAATTTTTATTTTATCAGAAGGGTATTTTAGTCTTTTACTATGTATTTATCGATAAAAATTACTGAATCACATGGAAAAACCATTTAACGTGACAGAACTAAATTTTAGAGACTAATGACAAATGTACAAAAATAAGAGAACGAATTAATTAATTTTATAAACTTTGAGGAAATATTAATTTTCCATTCATTATATTGTTATATCGTAAGTATAACATTTTAAAGATAGAAAATTTAACTGACACCGTACAACTGCGAAAATAGCCATCGAGTAAAATAAATTAAATAGACAATTTCTCTAACAGGCAGAGTGTAATAATGCATTTCTTTCATTCACAGTGTAATAATGATTTTGAAAAATTAAATTTACACCATGTTTGCAAATATTTTGAAGGCAACACAATTAAGGTAAATATTTTTATTTCACAACTTTTATGTAAATTGCTCAAATTTTTCCGCAAAATACAAAAGTAATTTTATTTATATATTCGGCCTTTTAACAAATTTCAATAGACAATCAGCACCACGCAGCTTTCCATGCATGCATGCTTTGTTGATTACCAACCAAATTTATTTTCTTAAGCTGTAATTTAAAAATAATATATTCATAATCCCAAATAACTAATTCACCTTCCTGCAATTGCAACGAATTTGGCCTTGTTTTCCAGTCAATGGCTTTATATTTCCCATCTTAACCATAGAATTAGCAAAATCTGCAGAGAAAATCTCAGCATTTGAGCTATAGGTCTTTACTAATCCATCAGTTGAGCCGCCCACAAATAGCTGCTGATCGGAATGAAGAAGGCCTCTCTTATTTATCAAGTCAGTGAAATACGCAGTGTCAAAACGTGCAGGCGATGAATCTAGCGGTGCAAGATTTGTATTTCCATCAACGCGTGGGCATGTTAATCTGCGCTTTCTTGCGAATTTGGGGTCAATAGTATTAGTTTCGTTGTAAATTCGGTTTCGGAAAACAATTTTCTTGCGAATTTGGGGTCAATAGTATTAGTTTCGTTGTAAATTCGGTTTCGGAAAACAATGCACCGTGCAAATCCTATAGTATGGCCGCCGGAGAGAGCAACAAGGTCTTTCTTGTTAAGACCTTGGTTTTTGAAGTTATTAATAAGTGCAGGAAGGTCCATGAAGGGTGATGGTATGTCTCTGTTAGCTTTTCTTCTGCTTGCTGTAGTTGAGTCTCTTCTCCTAGTAATAAGTGCAGGAAGGTCCATGAAGGGTGATGGTATGTCTCTGTTAGCTTTTGTTCTGCTTGCTGTAGTTGAGTCTCTTCTCCCAAGCTGCACTGTCCATGTTGGTCCTCCTAGCTGCACATTTCCATTGTGTATATGTCAGCAAAAGCCATTGATTATATTGACAACCTTTAGAATGGTATGATCAGAAATTAAAGAAAGTACCGCAACTACAGAATCGCGAGCTGCTACAGCTAAAATATCAGCGCAGGAGACCACAGGGCGACCGCATACTTTATCTACTTCCAGCTTAATTTGATCAATAACCTCGAATCCTCTAGCAGAATTTACATTAGCAACTGCATTCTTTTCACTATCAATTGTAGGTGAAGGATCCAAAAGAACTGACGCATCACAGCCCTATATTAATCAGAAACCATTTATTAATATGTTAATGTAATAAAATCAAATTAAAAAAATGAGAATAATTGGGAAAAAGTATTTATAGAGTACATTAACGAAACAGTCATGAAAATGGAGACGTAATAAAGAAGCACCCATGCGACGTTCTTTGTAAACGGCAGCCTCAATGAGTCGTTTAATAGTGGGTAAAGCCTCAGGGCACACTTTATCATAATAATATGGAGACAACGATTGCGAAGAAGCAATAGTAGCAAAAGCATGCAATATCAGCAAAACTGCATAAATAGAGAAAATGTTTCGCCAGGCCATTTCTTAATAGCTATTGTAGTATATGAGCTACTGATGTAGAAACTAAATAGAGGTTTTTTTGTTTTCCTTTAGCTTTATTTTGGGCTCAGTTGGTGTCGATATTTATAGATGGTGAAAGTCAGAATAGGCTTAGATCCTTTGGACTTAGCCAACAATTTCATGTTGCAAGAAAAAATAATGGACTCTGTCACTGCGACTTAGCATATAAATAATTTTTGTTATTTGATTTAGTCGTGTATAGGCAATCTGTAATCTTTTGTTTTATTTAAATACAACTCTCATCTCTCCATGTAAATAAATATAGATTTATATATAAAATTGTCTTGCCAACCGCCTTAGGCTGGTGGCTAAGATGGAGACGGCTTCAATTCCCTTCCCCATATATTGCCCTTTAGGGATTAGACTGCCCTTATTGAATTTTGATTTGTATTTAAAAATTATAATTGTGTTAAGTCTGCTTAAATTGCAGTATTTCTTGTCTTATGTAGATGGTAATATACTTTCTTATAAATTTAAAATTGTCTTTAAAGTGAAAAATCACGCAAGGAATTTAAGTATTTTTCTATGGTTACTTTCTATTTAATCGTTTCATTATTATTAGTTCTTTAATAAATTAATTCCTTCTAGTAAAAAAAAATTATTACTACAATTATCTGTATCACAAGCTTTCTAGTTATATTTATTTTAAGAAGATAATAAAAGATTTACACTACTTTCAAAAAACACAGATTAGTTATATACTTTTTCTTTAATCATATTTGATCATGGTGAATAATATCGCTAATATAATTACTCGACTTGGCATTAAATTCCGAATTAGTATTAATATTAATGTGTTGATATTGGAAATTACTTGTCTAGATTAACTCCATAGCCACGCTTATGGATCAAACCAATAATAGTAGGAATTCTTTCAAAAGTGTTACTCCCTCCATTTTATTTATATAGAGAAAGTCAAAATTTCTCTAAGATTAAGAAGGTAGTTTTTTTGTAGATTTCTTCCTAATTTGCCCCTGAAAAGATATTAATTTTCAATAAAATATGATAATGATGAGAGAAATGATTTGTTGCTTAAACGACGCATTTTATTTGTTTAGACTTTCAATAACAATTTGTTTAGACTTTCAATAACAAAAAAAAAGTAGGCTCTTTAATTGCAGATGCTCATTAAAATTTCAATATCAAATTTGGATTGAAAAAATTAGCGTGAAAGTTAAAAGCAAGTTTGGAGCCAAAATTTTCAACCTCAAATTCTTTATTCTGCTTCTCCAAATTTATGCATAAAAAAATGAAATTTTAAAGTCAAAATTTTCAAAGCTAAATTCATTTAAATAGGGACGAGTTTATAACTCCAAAATTTAATCCAAAAACGCTATGGACACAGTTCTTCCTTTTGATTTGAATACAGTCCTTCAAAAAATTTAATCCAAAAACGCTATGGACACAGTTCTTCCTTTTGATTTGAATACAGTCCTTCAAAACTTGCTTGCAACTTCAGAAGATGTGTCCATACTCAACAATCAATATTAGACTTGATCTCTTTGCCATCCACTGAACAACCGTTTTCTGTAGAATATGAAACTACACCACCACCAAGTAACATTCCAGAAGAGGCTCAAAAAGGCAATAAAAGGAAAAACATCACTGAAGATGTGAAAAATACAGTTTGTATATTACAATGTTCTAAAATTGAAAAAGGTAAGTCAAATGCTCGCAGTATTCATAAAGTTACAGACAGTTTATCCATATCCACTAAGACAATTTATAGAATTTGGCATAATGCAAAAAAATGAGCGCAACTATTTTTATTTAGGCAATGAAATTAGGTTTTAGGTTCTGCATCTTTCTCTTTAGCCCTCGTCAGAGTAAATATAAATTGGCACAACTATTTTTATTTAAACATTGTCGTTTGGAGGAAAATCTTCCTTCGTTCAGAATTTATTAGAGTTGTGAGTAAATTTGACTATATGTGTACACTTAAATGTTTAGCATAAGATTCTTGGTGAAATTTCTATGTGCGCATAATGTGCTTAAATTTCACATTTTCTTAATGCACGGTTCAACCAATTTTTTAACATTAAATGCTAACCACAATAATGTCTATCACTTTCTTAAAATACTCCCAAAATCAATGTTTAATCTATAAACCAAAGCAAGGGCATATTGGACTCTTTGCTTTGGTATTTGTCCCAAAGTTACTATAGTAGGAAAATTTCTTTATATAAATAGAACGCTCAAAAAGTAAATTTTCTCTATATAAATAGAACAGGGAATATAACTTCATATTTTTTTTTTCCAGTGTATAATCAGAAATATTCTCGTTTCAAAAATAAACTTTATTCTCTTGGTCCATGAGTTGATGTTACCGTTCAACAAATGCTTAATTAGTCAAACCTTTTGTTGATTTCATCTATGATGGGATCAAATCGTTCTTTATTAATCATAGCTTAATTAGTTGATGTTACAGCTTAACCAATGCTTAATTAATTAAATAGTTGAAATTTTAATTTGTGTCGATTTCATCTATAATGGATTAAATCACTCTTCATTTAAATTTCATATATGTATATAAATGGAGAATCATTGACCATCTATATCTATAAATAAATATAATTTGCGCTCTATTACTTCACTGAAAATATATCTATCTCTGGAAAATATTTTCTCAAAAAATCTTCCTTTTAAAAATATTTTTTTCAGAAATTTGCTTTTAGTTGTTCAATTGCAATATTATATTTTTAATATATACAAATAAAAATACTTAATTTTATAAAACTTCATGTATTTTAATATTTAAATGGAAAAAAATACTTGCGGGATTGAACATCATGGTTAAGGTCATAGGTTCGATCCTCCGCAACGCAAATACCCTTGGGCTAGCTCCTTTGCCTCCGAGAACGAGCAAGGATTAATTAGGCTTGAGTACCGTTAAAATGGGCATAGTCTTAAATATACCTCGCATTGTATTAAAAAAAAATGATAAAAATAATATCCACTCATTATCAATTGATTAATAGGGTATGTATTAAGCACTTTTCTTTGCTTAATGATTTACTGAAATTTGGAAAAATAGCTTTCTCTTTTCAAAGTGATAATTTTTTTTCCTTTAAAAATTAAAATACATTTACTTGTTTTATAAGGAAATATATATTTCTCATTGATCAATTCTCGGAAGTATTTCGAACACAAAAAATGAAAGAAAGAAAAAAAAACGCTCTTCATTTTTCTTTTTTTTTTCTCTAAATTACCTTTAATTAATATGTTATTTTGAAAAATGGTTCTAATTCTACATATTATAAGATATATAAAACAATTTAACTCCGAGAAACAAAAAATAGATGTCTTACCATTGAAATTATATATACCAATATTTTAAATATAGCTAAATGCATAAATGGTTATGTACTTATATTATTGCAAAATTGTACTTATATTAAATTTCTAAACTTAAACTATGTACTTATATGATTTTATGCTTTCATTATATTGTCAAATGTAACATTTTAGGAGGGAGAAAATTTCAATGACACAAGAAACGGAGAGATAATTGCCATTAAGGGTACCATTTTCCATTAATGGATGGAGAGAGAGCCATTCTCTTGCAAAGTGAGATACAACAACTTTAACGATTTCAATGTATTTATTTATTTTTTTAGCATATATATTTGCTGAATAGAGATTTGGATAGATGAAAGAAAAGAAGAGGGATAGCGACTTTAATTTTTATTTTATTAGAAGGGTATTTTATTACTATGAATTTAACGATAAAAATCACTAAATCACATGGAAGAATAATTTGATTTGATACAATTAAATTTTAGAGAATAATGCCAAATATACAAAAATAGGAGAATGAGTTAATTAATTTTATAAATTTTCATGCACGAAATATTTATTTTCTTTTCATTATCTTGTTACATCGGAAGTATAACATTTTAAAGAGAGAGAAAATTTAACTGACACCATACAACAGTGAAAATAGCCTCTAAGTAAAATAAATTAAATAGATGATTTCTATTAACGTATTTCTTTCATTCAAAGTGTAATAATTGATTTTGAAAAATTAAATTTACACCATGTTTGTAAATATTTTGAAGGCAACACAATTAAGGTAAATATTTTTATTTCACAACTTTTATGTAAATTGCTCAAATTCTTTCGCAAAATACAAAAGTAATTTTATTTATATATTCGGCCTTTTAACAAATTTCAATAGACAATCTGCACCACGCATATTTCCATGCATGCATGCTTTCTTAATTAACAATCAAATTTTTATTTCTTACGAAATAAATTGAAGCCATAATTTAAAAATAATATATTCATAATCCCAAATATCTAATTCACCTTCCTGCAATTGCAACGAATTTGGCCTTGTTTTCCAGTCAATGGCTTTATATTTCCCATCTTAACCATAGAATTAGCAAAATCTGCAGAGAAAATCTCAGCATTTGAGCTATAGGTCTTTACTAATCCATCAGTTGAGCCGCCCACAAATAGCTGCTGATCGGAATGAAGAAGGCCTCTCTTATTTATCAAGTCAGTGAAATACGCAGTGTCAAAACGTGCAGGCGATGAATCTAGCGGTGCAAGATTTGTATTTCCATCAACGCGTGGGCATGTTAATCTGCGCTGTGCAGGCGATGAATCTAGCGGTGCAAGATTTGTATTTCCATCAACGCGTGGGCATGTTAATCTGCGCTGTCTTGCGAATTTGGGGTCAATAGTATTAGCTTCGTTGTAAATTCGGTTTCGGAAAACAATGCACCGTGCAAATCCTATAGTATGGCCGCCGGAGAGAGAAACAAGGTCTTTCTTGTTAAGACCTTGGTTTTTGAAGTTAGTAATAAGTGCAGGAAGGTCCATGAAGGGTGATGGTATGTCTCTGTTAGCTTTTGTTCTGCTTGCTGTAGTTGAGTCTCTTCTCCCAAGCTGCACTGTCCATGTTGGTCCTCCTAGCTGCACATTTCCATTGTGTATATGTCAGCAAAAGCCATTGATTATATTGACAACCTTTAGAATGGTATGATCAGAAATTAAAGAAAGTACCGCAACTACAGAATCGCGAGCTGCTACAGCTAAAATATCAGCGCAGGAGACCACAGGGCGACCGCATACTTTATCTACTTCCAGCTTAATTTGATCAATAACCTCGAATCCTCTAGCAGAATTTACATTAGCAACTGCATTCTTTTCACTATCAATTGTAGGTGAAGGATCCAAAAGAACTGACGCATCACAGCCCTATATTAATCAGAAACCATTTATTAATATGTTAATGTAATAAAATCAAATTAAAAAAATGAGAATAATTGGGAAAAAGTATTTATAGAGTACATTAACGAAACAGTCATGAAAATGGAGACGTAATAAAGAAGCACCCATGCGACGTTCTTTGTAAACGGCAGCCTCAATGAGTCGTTTAATAGTGGGTAAAGCCTCAGGGCACACTTTATCATAATACTCAATGAGTCGTTTAATAGTGGGTAAAGCTTCAGGGCACACTTTATCATAATAATATGGAGACAACGATTGCGAAGAAGCAATAGTAGCAAAAGCATGCAATATCAGCAAGACTGCATAAATAGAGAAAATGTTTCGCCAGGCCATTTCTTAACAGCTATATGCAGTATATGAGCTACTGATGTAGAAACTAAATAGAGGTTTTTTGTTTTCCTTTTGCTTTATTTTGGGCTCAGTTGGGGTCGATATTTATAGATGGTGAAAGTCAGAATAGGCTTAGATCCTTTGGACTTAGCCAACAATTTCATGTTGCAAGAAAACATAAGTGGACTCTGTCACTGCGACTTAGTATATAAATAATTTTGGTTATTTGATTTAGTCGTGTATAGGCAATCTGTAATCTTTTGTTTTATTTAAATACAACTCTCATCTCTCCATGTAAATAAATATAGATTTATATATAAAATTGTCTTGCCAACCGCCTTAGGCTGGTGGCTAAGATGGAGACGGCTTCAATTCCCTTCCCCATATATTGCCTTTTAGGGATTAGACTGCCCTTATTGGATTTTGATTTGTATTTGAAAATTATAATTGTGTTAAGTCCACTTTTTTTTTTTTCTTTTATTTATATCGCAAATATGTAGTCCCCATAGACTCCAATAATATAATATTTTTAATCAAATGAGGCAAAAAATTAAAAGAGGTAAAAGAAAGAGAAGCATGATGGAGCTTTTGATAAGTGGCCAAAAGATGTGCGGCTTGATTTCCTTCACGATATATGTGATGAATGGAAGAAGAGTGAAGATGCAACAAGTCAGCAACACGCAGCAAAACTTAAGGACATGCTCTAATCCATTGTGCCCGATTAACGTGAGCAACTAGGTCCAGACAATCCATTTCCACCTGAATGGGATAAAAACCTTTATCAATACTCCAGAAAAGCCCCCAAATCAAAGCCTCAAGCTCTGCATCATAAACTGTCCCGGTAACAATCGAAAAACAAGCGGCAGCAAAATATAATCGAAAAGAAACAAGCGGCAGCAAAATATAATATATATTATAAGGTAATATAGTATATTATATATATATAGTTACTATGTAAGTATATATATATTATATAATTTGTGCCCGCTAGAAAAATATATTTAGACTTATGGAGTACAGTAACTCAAAGCATAGTATAATCGTGTCGAATATATAAATGATTAGAAATTTCATTTTAAACTCTTAATCGGAGACAAATTTCTTTTAAAAAAAAAAGTAATTACTTGATTGTTTCTTAATAATATGTTTGAGAAATAATATTGATTTCTAATGTAAGTTTCGTTGGCGATTTTTGGTGAGGGCAGTGTCTCTAATATTGCTTTAAATATGAAATTATTCTTCGGTTGATTAACTTTTCATAACAAGTATTTTTTTTTGATGATTTTGAATTCCAGGCCTTGCAGAATAATTATATTTGAAATGCCCGCTAAAAAAATATATTTAATTAATGAGTAGTAACTCAACATATATAATCGTGTCAATATATAATTTAGAAATTTCAATTTTAAACTCTTAATCGGAGACAAATTTCTTTTAAAAAAAAGTAATACTGATTTTCTTAATAATATTTGAAAAATATATTCTAATTAAGTTTCTTTGGCATTTTGGTGAGCATCTCTATATTCTTTAAATATGAAATTATTCTCGTGATTAACCTTTTCATAACAAGTATTTTTTTGATGGATTGAATCCAGGCCTTGCAGAATATTATAATTAAAGTTATTGCGAAATAGACTCCATGTGATCACACGCAACGCGTAGCAATTAAACGAGAATTTCTGTCATTTGTCTGGCAGTCTGGCACATTTACTGTGAAGCAGAATGCCAAATAAGTTGGGGCAGTTGAACAAATTGTATTAGAATAAGTTCCCAAAAATTACTAGTTTTTATTATTATTAGTCTAGTATACCTTGTCTACCTTGATATGGTCAACATCAACGCATCCTAATAATAATTAGCAGTGTCTTAAAATAATGTATTTGGTAAGATTATCTTAATTGCTTGCCTCACATGTATAAAGAAATTATTGATGAATCCAAAGGGTAAACCTCCATTGGTTGGCAAAACAATTCCAATGCGCGTATGTGAATTTTTCATGGTGTTTTCTTCTCCAATAAGTACTTACTTTGTCATAAGCATTTTATTTTTAGATTTTGACCCAAGCAAAGGACATTCTTTAATAGGCCCAATACAATTACGGAGTTAGTTAGTTGCCTTTGATAGGCCCAATTTAAGCAATGAGTGGATTTAACTGCAGATAATTTGGGCTCCATGGGCTGGAAGTGCAAAGACGACACTCAAAATGAGTAATTATTCAAGAAGCTTTAATGATAGGCTTGCTTTGGGATAAATGCATATTTAAAATAACTTAAGCAAAACTTGAAGCTTAGTTAATCAATTATATTTAATTAATATGATTAATGATCAAATTGTTTTGTTAAAAGATCAAATTGCTTTGTTGAAAACTTAAAATTGATTGAAATAAATTGAAATGGTCAATATTTTGTACAGAAATTAAGATTTTCATATGAATTTGTATATTAAAATAAAATATTTCAATCACTCTCACTGAAACAGTATAAAATTACAACTATGAAACAGTACAAATCAACAATTATTCAACTATTAAACTATTAAGATACTACATAATAAACAATTTTAGAACCATAAAAATGATAGTACCAACAATACTTTGAAAATCAACATAAAAATTTATAATACCAACAATGAACCAATACAATAAAACCCCCCAAAACAATGTGTATATAAAATGGTGTCAATTAGTCTTAATTGGCTTTCCTGCAGTTTGTCCTGATCTGGCCACTTGTACCAGTAAGTGGGCTAAGGTTTCCCATTTTGACCATCGCACTGGCAAAATCTGATCTGAAAGATGTTGGATTTGAGCTATAAGCTCTGACTTGAGAATCTGTAGAACCTCCATTAAAGAGCTGTTGGTCAGAGTGTAGAAGACCCTTTTGAGCCAGCAAATCCTTGAAGTAAGCATTATCAAAAGTCCTTGTCGTAGAATCAAGAGGAGCAAGATTGTTCCCTCCAGTACTAGGGCAATTTGCTTTTAGCGACGTTGCAAATGCTGTGTTTATATTTGTTTCGTTGTAAATTCTTGTTGCGAACACTGTGCACCTTGCTTGCCCAATTGTGTGAGCTCCTGCAATAATAATAATTATATCAGAGATGGATAAAGTAATCATGCCCAAGAACTATGTATATGTATATATATATACCTGAAAGAGCCACCATTTCTTTAGTAGTGAAGCCTTTGCTTGAGAAGTTAGAGATGAGAACACTAAGATCTGAAAATGGAGAAGGAAGGCTGCTTGAAGCAGCACTAAAACTTGCTGTGGTTGAATCTCTTCTGCCTAATTGAACGGTCCAAGAAGGTCCACCCAACTGAAACAAATCCAAGAATTACTTAAGAATAATAATAAAGTACATTAACTTTTAAAGGTGGACAACAATTTGTTCTTACAGCAACAACTGAGTCTCTAGCAGCAACCGCTAAAATATCTGCACAAGAAACCACACCAGCACATGAACTTTCCAACTGGGATTTGATCGAGTCTATTACTTCAAATCCTCTAATTGAATTATTATTAGCAGGTGCTGTCTTCTCTCCTGAAGCTCCATCCAATAGTACCGATCCGTCACATCCCTATTCATATGTTATATAAATAATTATTGTATAAATTCAAGTCTCACTAGCAGTAAATTAATACTAAAAATTATATCTAATTATGTATGGTTTCAATAAATCAATCTAATTATAGTTTTAAAAGTTAAAACACAGCGAAGCAAATATTATTAGGAGTATAGAAGATACAAATGAAAAAAAATTTGAAAGGGGGAAAGAAAAAGAAGACAGAAGTTTCCTGTTCTTGTGGAATTCTTTTTTGTTTTTTAAACGAGAAGATTCTTAGTATGTCGTGCATGATTCCATTACTATTGTTATAGACAGTCAATAATGTCGGCCACCGATACCAGACAGTATAATTAACCTTAAACTTTACTTAACTATCTAATGATTAATTACATAAGCAAATTGCTAATTGATTAGATGAAACAAGAAAGTAGATAGAATTTGAAAAATACATCAACCAATCAATATAAGCATGCATATATAATATAATATAATTTATTATGAACTAGCTGCTCTTCATCTCTTGATATGAAACACGACTACCTACATGCAATCAAATGCAGAAAAAGTATTTATATGCATAAATTAAGAAATGGTGATAAAAGAGAAGCTAAGTAACTTGCATTAACGAAGCAGTCATGGAAATGAAGACGAAGCAAAGATGCTCCCATGCGAGCCTCTTTAGAAATAGCAGATGTCACAGCAGAGTTAATGGTGGAAAGAGCAGCAGGGCATGTTGTGCTGTAGAAAGTAGGAGATAGTTGAGCAGAGGCCATTCCAACAAGAAACAAATAAAGTGCTAATATTATGAATTTGAAGCAAGTTAGAGTTGCAGTGGAAAACTGGAAGGAAGACATAACTCTTAAGTAATAAATTGATATTGCTCAAGGCTCAGTGTGCTTTGTTATGCTCTTGGTGTGCATATTTATAGGAGTTGCAGCTTTACTATTTCGAATTTTTTATTTATGTGTTGAGTCAGACGTTGACTAAGAAATTTAATTAGGAAGTGAAATTATTTAGATGGAAGCTGAGGTTGTAATTTCCTTCTTAACGTTGTTTGGCATGTCAAACTAGTTGCATTACATATGATTTTTATCATTAAATAAAAATCGCTCTTTTCACTTGCTAACTCTCCTACCCTTAGGTATTGAAATATAAGGAAACAAAAACATTAATTATAATTCTTAATTTAAAAATTAATTTCTCATAAAATAATATGTACAAAAAAGCTAAACAGGATAAATACATTTTGAATTTTGACAAAAATTTTGTTATCCCCTAAACATTAAAATTCACTTTGACTTTATGACACCTGGAATTCATTTTTTGTGATAACATCATACGATGTCATATTAACAATAATAATTTTTTTAAATTTTTAATTTTTATTTATAAAATATTAATTTAATATTTGATTAGTATAATTTTTAAAATAATAATTTTTACAGTTGAATTCAACTTATAAATGTATATTTTAATTTGTAAGGATTGAAAAACTGAACTACTATTTGCTCCCTAAAATGCCAGTCACTTTCACTGAGTAACAAAAATAAAGAAGGGGTTAAGGGTGGCCTGGCCCCTGCCACTAGTCAATTTTTTTAAAAAAAATATTTACCGGTTAAAATACTGAAATTTTTGAATTTTACCTATAAAAATAGTGAATTTTTTAAAATTTCTTTTTCTCTCCCTAACTTCTAATTCTTACTCCTTCACCCTCTAAAGTTTTTAAAATTATTTTATAAAATAGTATTGACCCTAAACGTTTCTTTTTTTTTTAAATTAGGCTCCCTAATTTTGAAATATGCTCCATAGTCTACTAATCTCACTTTCTTTTGTTAATTTATCTAATTACTTATTTATTAAATTATATTTTTAGCTAAGCAAAACGCGGCGGAGCACGGAGGGGGACCCCATTGCATGGATGCTTATCTATTTCAACGACTCCCACATATCACGGCCATGTCAAAAGGCAGAAAACAGAACAGAGTCAATCACCCATTTTGGCATGGACAAAGCCCATAGTTCTAAACAAATAATTTCACTTTCAGCTTTTATATTTTTTTAAAGCATGCTTTTAAAGATTCTGTTTATACGAATGTTCATTGACCAAAAAGATAACGACATGAAGTCAACTTCCACATTCATCGGTCAGAACTCAATTTGCATTTGTTTTGTGCCCTTCATTTTTGCAATTTAATGTAAGGCCTAATGGTAATAAAAAACATTAATTTTAACATTTTTATTAAATTTAGTCAGTTCTTTTAATTTTATCAATCGATACCATATACTTAATTTTTAGAATCAATTTTAGCATCCGTTTTCCTTGTTAGTCTTTATTTCAGTCAAATAAATCCCTACTTGTTTGGGATACTTGATTTGTTTTGTTTGTTAACATCTTCTAGATTTTTGGTGTTTCTGTTAACTAATTTTCTGCATTTCAGTTCTGTAAAGCTATATAAATAGCTATGCTATGTCAAGTTAATCACATCATCAGATTCTTCTCATAATTCTCTTCTCTTTCTTTCTTAATCTTCTTTAATTTAACATTTGGTATCAGAGCCCTTAGGGGGTTAGAAGTAGCAGTCTTCTATAAGTGTCTTTCTTCTTTTCTGTGATTCAAATATGACAATTGAATCTTCTTTTGTTCAACCAGCAATACCCAAATTTGATGGGCATTATGATCAGTCGGCGATGCTCATGGAAAATTTCTTGCGCTCAAAAGAGTATTGGCACTTAGTAGAAGATGGAGTTCCTGCAACAGCAGAAGGAGTATCTTTGACAGACGCACAAAAGAAAAGCTTTGAAGATCAGAAATTGAAAGACTTGAAAGCGAAGAATTTTTTGTTTCAAGCATTGGGTCGATCAGTCCTGGAGACAATCCTCAAAAAGGATACAGCAAAAGACATATGGGACTCTCTGAAGCAGAAATATCACATAACAACTCGTGTTAAGCGTGCACAGCTGCAAGCTCTTCGAAAAGAGTTTGAAATTCTTCACATGAACACTGGAGAAACTGTGAATGAATTTATTGCCCGAACTCTTACCATTGCTAATAAAATGAAAGCAAATGGTGAGGACAAGGGAGATGCTATTGTGGTTGAAAAAATTCTGAGATCCATGACTCCCAAATTTAATTATATTGTTTGTTCTATTGAAGAATCAAAGGACACAAGCATGCTAACTATTGATGAGCTGCAAAGTAGTCTGCTTGTGCATGAACAACGCATGAATTCTCAGAATGAAGAAGAGCATGCTTTGAAAGTTTCACATGGAGATCATTAGCTTCTGGAAGATCAAGAAATTTGAAAGCGAACTTTGAAAAGCGAAGAAATTTTTTGTTTTCAGCATTGGGTTCCGATCAGTCGCATGGAGAACAATCCTCAAAAAACGGATATCAGCAAAAGACAAATATGGGACTCTCTGAAGCAAGAAAATTATTCACATAACAAACTGTGTTAAGGCGTGCACAAGCTGCAAGGCTCTTCGGAAAAGAGTTTTGAAATTCTTCACATGAACACTGGAGAAACTGTGGAATGAATGTTAATGTGGCCGCGAAACCTTCGGTTACCAATTTGCTTAAAATAGGAAAATTAAGAATAGGTCAAAGATGGTGAGGACAAGGGAGATTGCGCTTTGTGGTTGAACAAATTCTGAGATCCCGCATGACTCCCAAATTTAATTATATTGTTTGTTCTATTGAAGAATCAAAGGACACAAGCATGCTAAGGGGTGCGGACGCGAGAATTGCTTCTCTTTCGCTCTGACGCAGGCGTGCCGGACAACAGGTGGATCGTGCTGATACTGGTTGTGTATGACCTGAGTCCAATTGGCGAGACTTGGAATTTCATGCGGTGGGGTGGGTGTACGCCGAGTTTTTAGGATCAGTTTCGGTCTTTTTCTTTTGGCTGTGGACGGTAGATGCATGGTGGTTCGAGTGCTGTCGAGGGTGCCTCGGGTAGATGCACGGTATCGGACGGTCTGTCCGGTGTCCGGTTGGTCGGAGGATCACAGCAGGAGTAGGGCATAGCTCGGATCCGCAAATGAAAGTCAAATCGTTCCTATTTGATGAGCTGCAACAGTAGTCTGCTGTAGGTGCATGAACAACGCATGAATTCTCAGAATGAAGAAGAAGCTGCTTTGAAAGTTTCACATGGAGATCATTCTGGAGGAAGAGGTCGCGGTAATAGTCGGGGCCGTGGACGAGGCAGAGGCAGACAGAGTTTTGACAAATCAACAATTGAGTGCTACCGTTGTCACAACCTGGGGCACCTTCAATGGGAGTGTTCACAAAAAGAAAAGGAGGTGCATTTTGTTGAGGCGCAAGAAGAGATGTTGTTGATGGCATATTTGGAAACAAATATTGCCAATAAAGAAGATACTTGGTTTCTCGACTCAGGTTGCAGTAATCACATGTGCGGGAAGGAGGAGTATTTCTTTGATCTTGATGAAAGATTTAAAGATTTTGTGAAGTTAGGCAACAATTCTAGCTTGAATGTCAGAGGTAAAGGTAATATCAGGCTGCTAATGCATGGGATATCACCGATCATCACAGGTGTATTTTATGTACCAGATTTGAAGAATAATTTGCTTAGTATTGGGCAACTTCAAGAAAAGGGTCTCTCTATCTTGTTTCAGCGTAATAAGTGCAAAGTGTACCATCCTGAAAAGGGGTTGATTATGGACACGGTAATGGCTTCAAATCGAATGTTTGCTCTGTCCGGCTATCCTGAAAGGGGTTGATTATGAACACGGTAATGGCTTCAAAATCGGGAATTGTTTTGCTCTACAATGCTATATCTCAACCTATAGGCAATCAGCCTGTTTTAGCATAAATTACAGAGATAATGTACAGCTTTGCTGTGTCGTTATGGCACCTAAGCTTTCAGCGGTCTGACTTCTCCAACAAAAAACAATGGTGCATGGGTTGCCACAAATGAAGGCTCCACTGAAATTGTGCAAAGACTGCTTGGTAGGGAAACAACAACGTGATCCATTTACTAAAAAGAGTACTTGGAGAGCTTCACAAGTTTTGCAATTAGTTCATGCTGACATTTGCGAACCTATCAAGCCTGTTTCTAATAGCAACAAAAGGTATTTGCTCACCTTTATTGATGACTACAGCAGAAAATTATGGGTCTATTTTCTAACTGAAAAGTCTGAAGCTTTTGCTGTTTTTAAAAAATTCAAGGCTTTGTACGGGCTTAAACAAGCACCACGAGCCTGGTACAGCAAAATAGAATCATATTTTGTGAAAGAGGGTTTTGACAAGTGTGATTATGAGCATACTTTATTCACCAAAACATCGAAGAATGGAAAAATATTGATCATCAGTTTGTATGTCGACGATCTTATTTTTACTGGAAATGATGAATTGATGTTTGCAGATTTTAAAAGGTCCATGAAAATTGAGTTTGATATGACAAATCTTGGGAGAATGAAATATTTTCTTGGTTTGGAAATTTTCCAAAATTCAGATGGAATTTTTCTTAGTCAAAGAAAATATGCCTTGGAGGTTCTGCAGAAATTTGGAATGCATAACAGTACTGCTGTTTATAATCCCATTGTTCCAGGTGTTAATGGAGGTTCTGCAGAAATTTGGAATGCATAACAGTACTGCTGTTTATAATCCCATTGTTCCAGGTGTTAAGCTTGTTAAAAATGAAAGTGGAGCTATGGTTGACAAGACATACTACAAACAAATAGTGGGTAGTCTTATGTATTTCACCGCAACTCGGCCGAATATGATGTTTGCTGTAAGTCTTATAAGTAGATACATGGATAGTCCCACTCAACTTCATTTACAGGCTGCAAAAAGGGTGCTTAGACATTTGAAGGGAATTATAGATTTGGGGATTTTCTACAAGAAGGGGGGAGATAATGAGCTGGTTGCTTATGCAGATAGTGATTATGCCGGAGATTTGGAGGATAGGAAGAGCACTTCAGGCTATGTTTTTCTTTTTAGCTCAGGAGCAGTGTCCTGGTCTTCGAAAAAATAGCCAGTAGTTAGTTTAGTTTAGTTTATCCACTAGTAGAGGCCGAAATTTATTTCAGCTGCTTCATGTCATGCCCAAAAGCTGGTATGTTGGTGCATGCCAAGCTGTATGGTTGACAAGAATTTTGAAGAAGCTGGATCCTAAGCAAGACAAGTCAGTTATGATTCGTTGCGACAATAATTCTGCCATTAAGCTTTCAAAAAATCCAGTGATGCATGGACAAAGCAAGCATATAGATGTTCGGTTTCATTTTCTGCGAGAGCTTACTAAAGCTGGCACTGTTGAATTGGTGTACTGTGCTTCACAAGAACAACTGGCTGACATCATGATCAAGGCTCTCAAACTGGATGCCTTTTAAAAGTTACGAGCTTTATTGGGCATATGTTCAAAGGAATCAGTTATAAACTGATTGCTTAAAGCATTCAGTTTAAGGGAGGAATTGTTAGTCTTTATTTCAGTCAAATAAATCCCTACTTGTTTTGGGATACTTGTCAGTCAAATAAATCCCTACTTGTTTGGGATACTTGATTTGTTTTGTTTGTTAACATCTTCTGGATTTTTGGTGTTTCTATTAATTAATTTTCTGCATTTCAGTTCTGTAAAGCTATATAAATAGCTATGCTGTGTCAAGTTAATCACATCATCAGATTCTTCTCATAATTCTCTCCTCTTTCTTTCTTAATCTTCTTTAATTTAACATTCCTTCCATCAATTTAAAGTTGATGTGGCTATTAGCTTTAAAAAGCGAGCCCCATGACATAGAATGTCAGCGCCGCGTATTCTAAACACGTGGACTGTAGGCTGATCCATTACCTATCTTAAAACGCTACCGTTTCCTTATAGGGGAACTGAACTTTTTCTTTATTTCAAAATCAAAGCCACGAGAGAGTTTTGACTTCTTTAAATGACCAATCATTTTTTCTTCTTGTCCTTATTATCTTTTCATCAAACTAAAACCCTAAAATTCCTATAACAACTCTTCTTTGATGATGGATCCATAACTTAATCTTATTTCCTTAGTATTTATTCATCTAAAATTTGATCTTTTACTCCCTGCTTTCTAAAATTTAGAATTTCAAATACTCTAAATCTTGGCACTGATTATGGAATTAAGCACTAATTTTAACATGCAAGAAGCTTCAGAAGCTGTGGTCCGACCAACTACGCAAGTTCTCTACCACCATAACCAAAGGGCCAAATGTTATACCTCTTGGAGTTACAACAACCCAAGGAGGCGTTTCTTCATATGTTCCCAATGGCGGGTATGAGTTTATCATATGAGCTTTTCATGAATTTATTTATATTTTATGGAGTATTATTAGACACTAAGCTGATTTTTGCCATGGATTTGAATATTTTAAATTAGGTTAGGAGAGAGAACTATGACTTCTTTGAGTGGTATGATCCTAAAAGCCTTCCTCATGATAAAGAGGTTATAAGATTTTAATTACCCAAAAGAATTCTCTAAAATAACAGATCACCTTGATGGAGCAAAAGGATGGATTGATAGTGGTTAAGCTGACAGCATTAGAGAAGAAAATTAAAAAAAAAAAAAAAAAAAAAAAAAAAAAAAAAAAAAAAAAAAAAAAAAAAAAAAAAAAAGAAAGAGGAGGTGATGCGCGCTTAGAGGACATCAATAGAGGCACTACAGCTAGAGAATAATAAAAAAAAAAAAAAAAAAAAAAAAAAAAAAAGAAAGAGGAGGTGATGCGCGCTAGAGACATAATAGAGGCACTACAGCTAGAGAATAATGAGTTGAAGCTTGCAAATGCTAGGAAGGAGTACAAGGAGAAGCTGCATTTATGTCGCATTGGTTGTTTGATGTTGATTTTGGGAATTTTTATGTTGTTGTGTATGGGCTAAGAAAATTTATGTAAGGTTAAGCAATAGGCTTTGTGTATGATTACATATGATATTGGATATATATGAAAAGATTAATTGCAAAAATATCTCTTTTTGTCTCCCTTTTTCACATAATGATGCAAAATATTTGCAATTTGACAGAATGCTGATAAATAACCGATTGATATATGAGACTACTATGCTAGCAAAAATCATATAAAAAAGGGAATAATATCTTTGCATATAACTATAGTTGGAATAAAAATATATTGAAATTTTGCAAAAAAATCCATATCCATAGCTAATAAAGTTGCATAAGATTCAATTACAACCATTAACAAAATGGCCTGGTCACATTAATATTTAAAGTAGCTTACAACTCTTATCTATATATAAGAGGCCAAGCAAAAATAACAAAAAAAAAAAAAAATGTTCTTTTATCTTCAATTGCAGAATAGTCACTGCTTAGTTAGAGAGGACTCTTTTGTTCCGATGACAATTCCAATATTAGTCTGTCGACCTCTAGTACATTGTAGCTTGGATTTTCATTGTAAATCAATGGTGCCTTGCCTTTACTTTTAGCAGCGTTTCTAGCAGTTGACACCTTATCCTTGTTCTTGTTTTGACAAGTTTGGCTGCTACAACAGTAGCCTTTGCTCCAACAACATATTTCGATCCTTTATTAACTAGAGCGAAGAAGTGAAATTTTTAGATCTATGTATTAAAATAGTAATTGCATGCTTTTATGTATTACATTACCTTGTAATACATTTTCCCGCACTCAGTAGATATATAGCATCCAAACCCTTTACTTGCCTATAAAAATAACAATTTACAGCTAGTTATATACTTGAAAAAATTTAGGCAATATTACAAAATAATACATACCACTACCTTGTCCCTAGCATCAATAGCTGCCGGAGCTTTGGGATTTAAGGCATGTGTTCTTGCACTAATGGTAGCTAACATATTTGCAAGTCCTTGTTGTTTACTATTTGATGTGCAGGTATAACTATAAAACTGATGTGGTTCTTTTTAGGCAAAGATTGGAGAAACATTAAAGTTGTAATTGTATTAAAATAACTATTTTAATACCTGAACGTTTCCATTTACAGCACTACTGACACTTTGCTTATTTTGAGATTTTGGAGGGTCTACCTCTTTTCTTAGCCTGTACAAAGTCAGATAGAAGAGTAAGATAAAAAAATGAATTAATATAATAAACATATTACTCATTTACTATATGAATTTCACATATTGTCAGTTACTGCTGTAAAGATTGCCAAAAGCAATTTCAAGAATTATACAAAAATTATAGATTTAGAATTTTACATTCGTTTGTACTTAATTAAAAGATCTCAAAAATGACAAAACACTAATGTAGAAGTATGAAAATAAAAAAATATTACAGCATTCATAACAGTTGGCATAAATATTTACAATCACTAACTTAGACAACAGTTCGCATTCAAAAAAGACAAACACTTAGACTGAATTTTTCACTAACTTAGAATTTTACAACCACTGACAGTTAACATTGAAAAAAGACAAACATAAGCTAGACAATAATGTAGACTGACTTTGCTTTTTATAACCATTAACTTAGACTGAATTTTCCCTAAAAAATGACTTAATTTCAATAAATTTAGAGTGAATTTTTCTTTAAAAAAAGACTTGGCTCTTTACAATACTAACTATTAAAAATCAAATGAAAACATAAATATTAACAAGTTATGCATTACTTCTTACGGGTCTAAAGAGTTAAAATTAAAGCAAAAACATATTAAATAGTTAAAATGTGAACCTATTGGTTATGTTTTACCGATTCCAATTGTGCACCAGCATTTTTACAAGTCCTTTTGTTATGACCATATTAGAAGCATTTCTGACATTGCATTTGGCACC